CAGGTGCCATGCACAGGGAGGGCTCTGCCAAGATGTCCTTGATTCAGATGCCTGGTGCCATGGCCACTGTGCCCCTGGCTGTCCTCCTCTTCTCCCCTAGGTTCTCTGTGAAGATCAACAGGGAGGCTATGGTGGTCTCCTTTGGAAAAGGGATTACCTTTAAGGTGATTCTGCACCAGGTGTGGAAGAAACATCACATCCACCTTCACTTTCTGGGCTTCTACGTGCTGGACAGTGACAAGATGTCAACAAAGTCACACGGGCTGCTGGGTATGGAATGTTCAAGCTTCAGGCTGTTCAGGGCAGAGGGAAAAGCCATGTGAAAGGCCATCCTAGCCCGGCACACAGCACCCCCTCAGCCTTTGCCTTAACCCTGGAAGGCCAGTGGCCATGCTACGTGGGGCGATGGCAGGGGCTGACAGAGTAAATGTTTTTCTTCCCAGGACAATTCTTCCGCCCCCTTGCTTTTCAAGTGTCTGACCTCAACCCAGGCAATGACCCCTCCAAGATACATGCCACAATGCTGGTGAAGAAATATCGGCTGGCAGTCACCAGGTGCGGGGACCCACCTGACATCCTCACCCTGCCCCCTAACAAGCCAGGAGGAAAGAGCCCTCTGTGCCCACACACATTGGTCCAGCAGGCTTTGTCTTCCGTGGGGTTCCCTCATTTCCCTCTGGGGTCTTGGCCTCCTTGAGGCCCCTCTGAATCAGGGAAAGGCCAAACTCAGCCCCCTAGAAGGAGTAACCATGCAACCTCATTCTTGGCCAGAGAATTATGGAATTGGCAAGGTCACAGCCTTTTTCAACCTTGGTCCATGAGCGTAGCAGCCATCTCGCCTACCCTGTGTATCACAGCATCTCTCTCCCTTCTCCAGGGGCTACCAGAAAGACTACAGGAAGGATGTCCATAATGGCACACAGGTGGGCTGCTGGTTCGTCCACAACAACGGCCAAGGGGTGATTGATGGGGTCCACAGCGACTACATCGTCTCTGACCTGTTCTGAGTGGCTGGCCCAGCTCGCCTGGCATCTGGAGCAGGGGCACAGAGCCAGGCCTGAGACAATAGAGGACACAGTGGAAAGCAGACCACTGCCAGCCTGTGCATGCCTCTCTCGGGCCCTGCTCTGGGGAACACCAGCTGGGACCTGAGGCAGCTCAAAGGAAGGACTGGCTCCCGGGAAGGCAACATCCGGGGCCTCCGCAGCAATGCGGCTGAAGGACAGGGCTGCTTGGCGTCACAGTTTGGCAAGTCAAGTGTATGAGGAAAAAATAAATAAAAATTGACTCTGGAGCAAAGAGTCTCTGAGAAGCTGGGAAGGGCTGAGTGCATTTCAGAGGCCAAAAGGGTCATGAGGAAAGTCTGGTCCCTGTTCAGGAGGTCCTGTCGGGTCCTTCAGGCCTGGAGGTCCTTCTGTGACTCAGAAGCAGAGTGTCCTCCAGGGCTGGCACAGCCTGCAGCAGATTGTAGATGCCATCCATCCACCCAATCACCCACTGTCCGTCCATCCATCCATCCATCCACCACCCATTTGTTCATCAGATAAGCCCAACATTCTGGGCTAGCATCTGGGGGCACAAGCTTAGTGACCCAGTTCCTGTGAGCATGGGTGCCTCAAGTTTACCTTCAGCTGGGCTGGGGATCCTTGGGATCCTCCAATCATACCCCACAAAGTCCTGAGAGCCTCTCCCACATGAATAACTGTAACTGCCCCTTCCTGGATCTCCCTGCTTCCAGAGAGAGCTTTCCACAGCAGACCATTGCTCCCTGCCTACACCCTGACAATGACATCTCCCTCCCATTGCTCTTGGATCAAAGATAAAAGTCCTTCCTATGGCTTCTCGGCTTCATCACCTCCATGAACCAGGCATTGTCCCTTACTTTCTGGGTTCCAGACACACAAACTGCCTCCAGTTCTGCAAACATAACGCCTCCTGCCCCAGATTATTTGCCTCTGCAGTTCTCTCTGCCTGCAGAGCTAGAGCATGCTGGATAGAGGCTACCCCTGTGCAGGGAACAGTGGGCAGCTTTGCTCCATGGCACAGCAAGGGACACAATAAGGCCAGAGGAGGTTGGAGTCTGATTGGGAAGGATCAGGAATGCCAGTGGGGGTGGGGATGGGATCTGGTTATGGGCCACAAGGAGGTTTTTCTACCTCCCACTCCAGGGGCCCCTCTGGATTTCCTAGGGACACCAGACTGGGGTCCTGGAGAGGGTATGGGGGGCAGTCCAGGAGGAAACCTTTATCATCAGGGGGCCCCCCTCCCCCAGGCATTTATGAGATGTGGCCTGGCGCTGCTGCTCCTCAAGGGAGAGGGCCACTTGAGACACAGCTCCAGAGAAAACATGGCAGGTGTGCAGGCTGGGCCCTTTTGGCAAAAGGGCCCAGCCTGGGAAAGGACATCCTCAAGTAGGCCAGCCCTGCACCCATTCAGTCCCAGGTCGGCTGAGGAGAAAATGTGGCTTTAAACCAGTCATCCTGAGGTCAGTTCTCACAGCTGTGAAATGGGGAGAAAGATCCTGCCAGATGGAGGGTATGAAGAGGCATCATCATATGGTTTCTGTTCCTCCTGAAGTACCTGCTTTGTCCTGCCACTCAGCTAGCCGCCTAGCCTGGCAGGTTGGCAGAAAGGCAGAGGAGGCCCCAGCCCAAATCTGCCCCTCCCCCTCCCTCAACACAGTCAGGGAGGCCCTCCTTGCAGGCCAATTCCAGGCAGATTCTGTCCTCAACCCAGTCCTCTGATGGCTCCCTGGCTTTCAGGATAGAAACCATGCTCCATGGCAAGGTGCACCCAGCCAGTGCTGGCCTAGCCCTGCTTCTCCACCTCTCCAATTGGCTCCTCACCCCATGCTTCCCTTCCCCTACCCTCAACTCACTGCACAATGACCCTGAACTCAATGCACAATGTCCTGGCTCTCACCCCAGTGTCCTTGTGCTCCATTTCTACTGAGCTGACTTCTCCTTATTTGTCAAAACTCAGTCCCAGCCATGCCACTTTCCAGGAAGGTCCCCGATATTCCCCAGGTAGAACAAGGTGACTCCCTCTGGGATCCTTGCAGCACCTGGTGGTTCCTGGGTGGCAGCTGCCACATAGGCACTGTCTGTCATGGTGGCCACAGCACTCTGCCCAGGGCCTGGCCCATTAGGTGCTGGAAAGCACTCAGTGAACAAAACAATGAAGGGCATGGACCTACTTCCAATTGTTCACAGAAGGCACCTGCCCTGCTGCTGGGCCAGAAAGTCACCCAGGACTCCTCTGCTGTTATACAAACCCCACAGCCCAGCGCAGGTGGTGGTGTCCCAGAGGGGTGAGCTGGGCGTGGGCCCCGTCTCTCATTTGGTAGGTGTGTCAGAGCTGGCCTCACAGGAAGGTCGAGGGAGACCCTAAGGCGGCTCCCCCGTCTCACAGCAACAGCCTGAGACCCTGCCAGCCAACCAGGCGGATGGAGAGGCAGATGGAGTGTGCCTGTGCGTTTGGCAAACCTGCTGCTGGAGCCCCGCTACGGGCCTCTCCTCTGACCCCTCCAGAAAGACTCACTCAGTAAACACCCTGTGGAGCTCAAGAGCTGGGAAAAGAGCTTTTCCCTGCTGACCTGGTTTGCTTCCTCTTAACCAGCAAATGAGCTCATTTCTGCTTTCCTCTGGCTGCGGGGAAGCTCAGAGCAAAGTTCTGAGCGGCAGCTTCCCCACGAGGGTGTCCCAGACTGAACGCTCCCCCTGCTTGGCTCTTCCCTTATTCCCATGGGTTTTGTTTAAAATATATATTTTTAAATCCTCACCGAAGGACATGCTTGACTGATTTATTTATTCATTTGTTTAGGTATTTATTTATTTTTACACAGGGAGGAAAGGAGAGAGAAAGAGAAACATCGATGTGAGAGAGAAACATCAATGGATTGCCGCCTGCATGCGCTCCAACTGGGGATCAAAGCCACAACGCAGGTATGTGCTCTGACCTGGGATCGAACCTGCAACCTTTGTGTGTACAGGGAGATGCTCCAACCAACTGAGCCACCTGGGCTATAATTGTTTTTAAGTGCGCTCTGACTGCAGGAATTGGGTAGAATCTGGGGGTGACTATCCCTGGGGCATGGATCGGAGAGGATTTAGAGGCCCTCCTGGGATGAGGGCCTCTCTCTGTCTCCTGTCTTCCAGGCCTAGCTCCTTTCCAGGTGTTGAGCACAGGTATGAAAATCAAAGTGCATCATGCAAGTCCCATGGGAAAGGCGCCCAAAAGCTCGTTGAGATCCTCTACCCAGTTCACTTTTTTTAAGGGAGGTAGGAAGAGTCAAAACGGGTTTTCATGGTCCTAGGTGGTTTGGCTCAGTGGATAGAGTATCGACCTGAGGATTAAAGGTCCTGGCTTCAATTCCAGTTACGGGTATGTTCCTCGGTTGCAGGCTTGATTCCTGGCCCCAGTAAGGACAGGTGCAGGAGGCAACTAATCAATGTTTCTCTCCCTTTCCCTTCCACTCTCTCTAAATATCAATGTAAAAATATTCTTGGGTGAGGATTAACAAATAAAATAATAAAATAAAATAAAATAAAATAAATAAAATAAAATTAAAAAAAAACTGGTTTTCATGGACTGAAACTGAACCTCTGCTCCCAGAGGATGTTTTCCGGCCCTAGGCCCCAAGATGGGGTCTGGAGTGACATATACCGGGGTGGTTCAATCTTTCTAAATCTTAGTTTCCACCTTATGAAATGAAGGGAGTGGACCAAAAGCTCCTCAGGGACCTACTGGCCACAGGCCTCTGAGGGCTGATTGTGGGAGATTCCAATGTCACATGATGCTAAGTGTTCAGGAGGAGGGTCTACAGGCCAGGGGTTTGGCTGGATGGAACCAGAGAAGCCCACTCCCTGAGTTTAAACTACCTGCCTTTATTTGCAATAAGTGGAACTCCCCTCCCCAACATGGTTGAGAACCCCACAGGTGGCTGTGGTCACAGGATGACAGCCCTCTGCACACAGTGGGGTGACACGGGGTGGGTGGGTGGGTATAACTCCTGATATCAGAACGAGAGCTCGATAGACCAGCAGGAAAGCTCTGTTCCCGGGATCCCCTCTTGGTAATCCAGCTTGAGCTTTCTGGGATGGAGAGACAGACACACAGACAGACAGACAGACAGACAGAGAGACAGGTGGTTAGCAAATCTCAGGTGTGGTGTGATGAGAGGGAGAGAGCTGGGGTCGGGCAAGTGGAAGGTGGAGATTCATGGCCCCTTAGAATCCACCCCAGCACAGGCTGACAAGGCCCAGTCACCCAAGGGCAGCCAGTTGTCCAGGTCCAGGGTTCTGAGACTTCAGGGAGTTGGCTAATGCCCCCAACTCACCCTTAGTGATCTCTGGCTGGGGTGTTTTCTGTGGGTCTGAGTTGACCATTTTGGGGGGTCACACTGAGAGCTGGATCAGACATGTCTAAAGCATCAACCATTCACCCGACTATCTCTAGTTCCCAGGCATGGACAGGGGAGTGGAGGCACCCAGTGACCAGGTTTCAGCCTCTTAGTCCCCTCCCCTGGCCTGTTTGGGTAGAGTCACCTGGTGACATTGAACTCAAACCCCCGAGTCCACAGTGTTCGCTTGCTGTCATCTGTGGCATCTGGGGGCCCCCAGGCAACGCCCTGGTAAAAGCGGCCTGAGAGACAAAGGGTGGGTCAGTGAGGGATAAAGACACGGGGACTGGGAGACACAGGCACTGCCTGTTCCCAGGCAGAGCTGGATCTGAGGATGCCCTGAGCCAGGGTCATGGGCTCATACCAAGGAGGCCGCCGACGTGGCTGGAGAAGCGGTCAGTGTCCCGCAGGAGCAGCCGAAGCCCCTGCCCAGGGCCGTCCCAGGACAGCAGGCCGATGGTCACTCTGTCTGGGCTGCTGAGCAGCAGGAGCCCCGCCTTGTCCATGGTCATCTTGAGGCTGTGGGGAAACTAGGCTCCTGAGAGCAAGGTAGGCATGGGCACACCCTCAGGGGACCCTGGCGGTTGGGGTGGGATGGGTGGGGGAATCCAGCTGTGGCCTTGAGTGGGAAGTCCATTACACATTCTCCTTAGCAACTGGGACAACGTGACGTTAATGATATCTGGTGATCCCAGCATTTATAAAACAAAATAGCGGCTCCTTCCCCTCTGTTTTCTTAGATTTGGTTCCCCTTAAATTCGTTTGATATGATTCCGGGGTATCGGACACACTCGGCCAGTGCCAGATTCTCTTCACGATCAGTGTTTAATTGTATGTTTAACATCTAGAAGGGCAAGGCTCTTCTGATTCTATGCCCATCTTTTTTACTTAAAATAATCTCTGATTTCTTACCTTTTTGGTTTTCTTGGGAATGTTAGGCTCCTTAGAGCACGGTGAACAAGACCCTGCTGGTACTCTGAGTTACCTTAATGGACCTGCACTAAGTTTACACAGGCTCCAAGGGACTCACTACAGGACGTGTGGTCTGATTTTCTTCACGGAGATCTTCTGTAGCTCGTGAAAGCGTGTGGCCCCTGTCGCTATGATTAAGAGGAGCTCTTTATTCATCTTCTGGTGCGCAAGTACTTATCAAGTAACAGGAAGCTTTAAGATCCGGTATGAAATGGGCGATTTTCAGGTGAGCCCCTCAGGTTTGCTAGGTGCTCACTCACTTGTCAGGTGGAAACCAGTCTCTACTGAGGTGCTCAGTTAGGGGCATGGATGGGGCTCTTTGTACTCAGCACGGGCTGGTCTAGGAGGGCAGTGCTCCCAGAGGGCCTAAGCCTTGGCCCGCTCCAGGCCCCTCGTGACTTCTGGACCCACAGAGCTGCCTCTGGGAGGCTCGATGGTGAGGCAGCCCCATCCAGAAGAGGTCGCCATCCACCTCCCTTACCTGCCAGCTGCCAAGTATTTGATGGACAGTCTCTCCCCATCAGAGCTTCAGGAGAGAACTAAGAGAGACTTTCATAGCCTCCCCCTGGCGGACAGTGCCTTCCAACTTCTCACTGCTGTCATCATTCCCTCACCACGGAGACAGCTGCCCTCCGGCATGCCCCGTGGGCACCACCCCTTCTAATGAGCAAAGTGCTCCCCTGCCACCTTCCCTCACTGGGTCTCCCCTTAGCCTCTAACTCAGGCTTGGAGAGATTCTCCCAGGGCATGAGTGAGGAAACTGAGGCTAAGAGGGTCTCAGCCGCCTGCCCAGGGTCACACAGGATTAGCAGCAGTGTAGCTCCAAGCCACACTGTCCCCTGCACGGGACAGTGACCTGGGTTAGGTATTGCCATGCGGGGGGCCCACATCTGGTCCCCAGAAGTGCCAGGCCACCCAGACCTGCATATGTGGTGCCAATGAAAGGTCTGTGGGTGGATGTATGAGTGCAAGGGTCAGTGCTCAGGGGCATGACCGTGCGTGAGCAGCCAGGTCCCCAGGACAGTGGCTGGTGCCCCCAGAGAAAAAGAGGTATGGCTCTGCCCAACCGGTGGGGGCGGCCCACTGCAGAGGACGCATGCCCAGTCCAAGCACTTCATCCCCAAGCCTGTGGCCTCAGGCCACCAGTCAGCACTGGCAGTGGCTAAGGTAGCCTGAGAGGTCATTGCTGGTACGCCGCCTGAGGCTTACCCAGGCATCACCACGAACAGCGTCTCCTTCCATTTGTACTGAGAGCTTCTTCGCTCCCTAGTCACTACCACGTGCTCAGGGGACACGTGGACCTGCAGCTGGATATTATTGAAAGTCACCTCGATCACTGAGAACTGGGCCTTCTCCATGTCATATTCGCCAATCACCTCGAGACCTGAGAGAGCCGGGAGCAGAGGTCAGAGGCATGGCCCTCTGTGATTATGTCCCTGAGAACTGTCCTTCACCAACCCCCTCCTCACTGCCCTTTCCCAGCATTCCCTCACACTGGAGTCTGCTTTCCACAATCTTTTCTCTCCTCCCTTGGTTGCATTTGACTTTGGAAGCACCACAAATCCTCAGTGATGGACACTTTCAGGTGAGCCCTCTGAGAAGGGCGATCGTGTCTGAAGTCCATGAACATTGATAAAGCGCATTAGTGTGCGGGACCCTGAGCTAAGTACCATGGCCAAGAGGGAGATGGCAAATCAGTGGTCCCCGCCCTCAGGGAGCAAACAGACTCTAGGCCTGGTTTGTGGAGGTGGGAGACGGTGTGTGAGCATCCCTGAGTGCTGTATGTCCCCACGTCTGACTTGACACCTCAGCTCAACCAGAACGACCGTTCTGGCGGGTGGGGAGCAGGTCTGGTCAGTGCACCTCCCTCCTCTTGCCTTTCATCTCCTGCAGACTCTCTATGGTCCCAGTACTATCTTTCAGGGCCCTGGGCTTCTGCCAACCTCTGCCTCTCCCTAGTAAACCCCCACTTGTCTGCCAGGGCCAGTCACTCCGTGTGGCCCTGTGCAGCCTCATATGCCCCTCAAACAGCCCTGGCCTCCTCTTCTGGGCTTCTGCCTCTAGCTCGATTAGGGCACTGACTGCAGCGGGTTTCTCCGGAAGGTGACTGCTCAGGGCCTCACCTTGGTCAGGGTCTGAGAGCAGGAGTAATAATGGCCCACGGGTGTGCTTAATGTCCACACAGAGCTGGTCCACGCTCTGCCCAGGCAGAGGCAGGATGAAGGTCGGAGCCTGGATGGGGGCTGGGGCAGCAGATGCGGTTCTTGGGGCAGGTAGAACATCTGGAGGGCAGTGACGGGAAGGGGGGCTCCGGGGGGCAGGCACCTTACCTGGTGGTGGGGCTGTTGGGCTTGTTTCTGAAAGAAAAAGTCTTTGTTTAGGCATTGCCTTCCTCGCATTTGGGGGCAAGGGGAACTGAAGAATGGGATAGTGTATAAATGTGGACAGGGTTCCTTCTCCACTTCAACATTGAGAAACATGTAACAGGTTCCTAGAGATCCCCAGGGCTCTCCCATCCCAGGGTCTTCCTGCTATAGGGCAGCCGTCCACTTCAGGGAATCTGGTCTGGGGGCGTACCTTCCATTGTTTCATCCAGGTAATCAAACACCATAGTGGGACTGGAGAAGGAGAAAGATTCTAGTACAGGATTGGCCAGAAACGGAAAGGGAGAAGGCAGTCAGGATTCCGCGCAATCATCACGCCCTCCAGCCATTACTGCCACCTGCACCTGCCAAGCTCCAGCCCTGCGACCCCTGCCCCACATTCACCCAACCTAAGAGAGCACACTTTTAGGAAAAACTGAGGAGACAGGGTCCAGCCTGGTGCTGGGCTGGGTCTGAATCCAGACTGGAGATCAGACACAGCTCATGGGGCCACTCATGGCTTGGGGAATGGTGGGAGCCTTCCCTTTCTAGAAGGGTCCAACCTGAGCCAGCCTGCAGAGTGTAATGAGTCTGGTTCAGTGAAACTAAATGACACACTGCTTCATGTCAAGCCCACAGCAAGTCTGCCTGGTCGGTGCCCAGGCCTGTGCAGGGTGCTTGCTCACATCCAGCTCTACAGGCAGGCTTACCATCCCCTTGTGGAAACGAGGCCTCGAGGTCAGAAAGTGGCTCACCTGTCCCGCTTGGTAGCCTTGAATCCGGATCCGATTTAGAGATTGGAAAAAGATAATTGGAAGGAATAGGAAATCCAGGTGGTCCAAGACTCATTTCGGCCACGTCATGAAGTCGAGCGTATGGGGAAACTCCAGCTTTAGAAAGGTTGACACCTTTCAGCAGTCTTGGCTCAAGCAGAGTCATGGGTCCCCACCACCAGGGTTCTCGGACCCACCCCGGGAGACGCATGTACAGAGGGCAGATGGCTCCCTTCCCCACACCCTCCACTCTGAGAGCCCCTCCCCCTTCAGCCAGGAGAAATTCAAAGCCGGAAAAGGAACCCTTCTTGAACTCCTCCCACCACGCTGGGATATCAGTCACTTCCAACTACCTTGTCCTCTGAAGTTTCTTCTGCCACTAACAAAAGTTCCAGCATAGACACACCTGAACTTGAGTCCCAGCCCGGCCACCAGCCAGGTGAGCCAAGCAAGCCACTCACCCACAGTCAGGGCAGAGCCCAGTCTGTGGCCAGGGTCAAGGTTCTGTCAATCTCCCCTCCCACCACCACTCCTCCTTTGTTACCTGTTGATGTGAACCCTGTGTGTCCCATGGCTCTATGTCTGAAGACAGTGCGACCTGGAAATCAGAGAGACCTGAGTGTGCATTCAGCTGGATGGGGACTGTGCCCCTAGCGCCAGGACAGCCAATATCTGAACGAACAGGTGACTAAATGCACCAATGTGCTTGGGCAGACAATGCCCCTCCTGGCAGCAGGCTGGGCTGGAGACGCCCTGGCCAGCAATTTTGTGGGACTGGGGTCCGAGGTCCTGTATCAGCCACCCGTCACGAAGGGCAGCCTTTGACGGTATTAGGCCCTTACCTGAGGGATCCTTTCCTGGATAAAACAAAAAGAGAAGAGAGAGAAAGAAAGTGAATGAGAGAGGGGGAGAGAGAGAGAGAGATACTATTGGGTAGTTTGATACGTTTGAAGTGCTTATTTAACCTGCTTCCCCACCCTAGCACCACAGAGCTGCAGTGCATATGAGAGGGTCGGGAGACCTGGCCTCAGTTTCCCTATCAATGAAATGGGATGGATCTCCTGGGGGTCCTGGGAGTCTGTGTGGCTGGGTTACAGTCTTGGTCAGGGTGTGGGGGAGGGGCTGGGGGGGGAGAGACTGGGTCAAAACTCTGTTGCCACAGAGCTAGGAGCCCACTGTCACACCCACCATTTTCCACGGGCTTCTCAGCAACTTGAGACTGTTCTTGGCCTTCAGGTTTGGTGACCACCATGGACGTGAGGGGGGTGACAAAGCTATAGTTGAGCGACAAGCCCAGAGCTTGGGTCTCCAGGGCCTGCTTATCGGCATCGGATGCAGAAACCCTGCAGGTAGAGAGCATCAGAGAGCCAGCAGGTCCTGGATGCCTAGCTCCATTCTCCCTCCCTTCCAGACCCTTGGGGGTGAGGGCGGGTCCCTACTGGCAGAGCCTGGAGCTCAGACACCACTCCATGACCTGCCCCCCCCTCTCCATACCTAGGAGATGCCCAGGCCACCTGTGCTGTCCCACCCATGAGGAGCTTGGGGAGACACTGAGGCCGTGTGTGGCCGCCCCAGCAGGCCCTTGGTTGTGCAGGCCACCCACATTCGCTCCAGGAGTTGGTGGATGGTCAGGTACGCCCAGAGTCTCTCCATGAAGCCGTGGAAGATGTACTTGGGCTTTTGAAACTCCTCTTCCTGCTTCGCCACCTGGGACTCCATTTGGAAGGTGATGTTCTCCGTGGGCTGGAAAAAGGGGCCCAGCCAGGCGGCAGCAGTGAGTGCCTGACGCCCGCACCTGGCCTGCCGCTTCCCAGCACTTCCTTGAGAAACCTAATTGGGACTGCGCAGGTCCCATGAGCTGTGATTACCGCATTCCTTTAGAGTAGGTGGGGAGCAGGGAGGGAGTTTAGGGGCATAAGGGGCTCAGCCACAGAGCCTCCAAGGATGAGAAGGAGGTGGAGAGAAAAGGTAGGAACTATCACAGGTGCAAAGCCAGGAACTCAGATCAGGTGCAGCTTTTGGGAGGAAGGACAATGAGGACGGGATCTGGACCCCAGGCCAGTGCAGAAGCAGCAGCAAATGAGTTTAAAGCAGAAAGAGTCCCAAGACGGCCCACCCCAAAGATGGAGATTCTGGGGACAGAGAGAGAAGAGCCTTCCCCATCAGTCATGGCAGAGTTTGTAAGAGGACTCAGGCCTTGATAGGGTTTGGGGCCCCATGTATCCCATTAGGCTGCCCCTGACCAAGCTGATGCCCCTTGCTGGGACCAGGCACTGTCCAGTGGTGACAGCGAGGCATGTGCCCAAGTTTCAGGTGGACCGCTGCTTCCTTCCCCGGTGTGGGTCCTTCTGCTCTCAGGCTGACCTGGCCAGCAGCCTGGGAAGTGGGGCCTGTGGGCAGAGGAACTCCAGGCTTTCCTGTCACAATTCCCCGGCGGCCAAAAGACTTTGCGATGTGGACCAGACCCCATCCCCGCTGCTGGAGACGCCCTCCCCTGTCTCTCACTAGAGCCGGGCCTGCCACACCTTTGTCACCTGCAGGCCACCTACACAAATGTCGTATCCATCTGCACAAATGTCCTATCCATCTGCACAAATGTCCTATCCACCTGCACAAATGTCCTGTACACCTGCACAAATGTCCTATCCACCTACACAAATGTCTTGTACACCTGCATAAATGTCCTATCCATCTGCACAAATGTCCTGTCCACCTGTACAAATGTCCTATCCACCTGCACAAATGTCCTATCCACCTGAACAAATGTCCTATCCATCTGCACAAATGTCCTGCCCACCTGCACAAATGTCCTGTCCACCTGCACAAATGTCCTATCCACCTGCACAAATGTCCTATCCTGCACAGCGATCTATTTGAAGGTTTTCCTTAAGTGAAAGTTAAACAGACTAACACTCTTTACTCGGCCTTGTCCCAAGCAAGAGTACCAGGGAGATGCTAGGTCTGGGGTTGGAGTTCTATTTCTCAGAAGATACATTAGGATAAATATGTAATTACTCAAACAAAGACATGTCACCCCCTTAGTCACCTTGGGTTCCACACTTTGGGAACTCCCAGCCTCCAGGATAGCACCAACAGCTAACATGAACCTAGCCCAGCCGTGGGCAAACTACGGCCCGCGGGCCTGATCCGGCCCGTTTGAAATGAATAAAACTAAAAAAAAAAAAAAAGACCGTACCGTTTTATGTAATGATGTTTACTTTGAATTTATATTAGTTCACACAAACACTCCATCCATGCTTTTGTTCCGGCCCTCCGGTCCAGTTTAAGAACCCATTGTGGCCCTCGAGTCAAAAAGTTTGCCCACCCCTGGCCTAGCCCCTCCGAATGCCTGCTGCAGCCACCCTTCTACACCAGGATGGCTGGCCACACTCACCAGCTGCCCGCTGACTGTGGCTGAGAGCACATCAGGGCTCTGGGCCCGGAGCTTCCCGGCCACCACCATCTCAGAGCCCTTGAAGAACAGCGGGAAGTTGTCCTGCGTGACCTCCTCCACGGCATTGCCTGGGTACTTGAAGGTCACTGTGGTCAGCAGGGGGTTGGCCACCTCCTGGTAGAAGTCCTGCAGAGTGGGGGGTGTCACGCGGGCCGGGCAGGGTCGTCCCTGACTCACCCAGCCCTCAGGGGTAGGCTGGCACCTGCAGCTGCAGGGCAGAGTCCGAGTCCTCGTAGATGCGCCGAGCCAGGCCGCCGTTGTCCAGCGCCAGCTTCTCCAGGAAGGCGTAGCTGACGTCGAAGCCAAAGCCCAGGCAGAAGAGGCTGTACTGACCGCCTATGGCCTCCTGCACATTCTTCTGGATCTTCCTGGGGTTGGTCTCGCCTGGACCCAGTGTTTGGGGACAAGGGTCAGAAAACAGAGATTTGCTCAGGGGATATTTTTGGAATCTCAGAGCCAGAGAGGCCTCAGGGATTCCCTCCCTTCCCCAGGTCCCCCAGCAAGCCAGGATGGAGCCCCAGCGATGCCCTCTGGGCAGTGTGCCCTGGAGTTTCCACTGTGCTCTCACCCACAGTGGGGTCGCCATCAGTGAGGAGGAGGAGGAGAGAGACGCTCCCTGAGGGCAGCTGCTCCTCCCGGGTGGCTATGTCCAGCAGCAGCACAGCCAACAGCATTGCATCGTTGATATTGGTTCCTGAGGACACACAATCTCAGGATGGCTCTCAGGTGGAGCTCATGCCCGGATGCCCCCACCCTGCAGGGCTGCCCTGGCGCTCACCTCCCCGGGCCTGGATGCTGTTAGCGTATTTCTTGGCCTCCTCCACGTTCTGGGTGGAAGCTGGCACCAGCGACGGCTTCCACTGGCTTGCTTCACTGCTGAAGCTAATGAGGTTGAAGTGGTCTTCGGGCCTGAGGTCCTCTAGGATCTTGATGAGGGCTTCCCGCGTCTGGTCAGGGGAAGGGGAAACAAGGTGTGTGTCTCAGTGGGACCTCCTTGGGGGTTCATGTGCCCTTGGGCTGCACCCCCAGGCCCACACCTGCAGTGGGAACATGGTGAATGCTCCAGGGGCAGGACCAGCTCCAACCTGGGTCTCTGGAAGCCTCCTACCCAGGAAGATGGAGGAGGGAGGGTCTGCCTGCTAGACCAGAGCTGATGGTGGGAGGCATCTGAGAGTTTTCAGGGTTCTACCGTGGCCTGTGGTACCCACCTGCTGGATTTTCTTGCCCCTCATGGAGCCACTCGTGTCGATGACAAAGATCACATTCTTGGGTATCTTGGAGAGACCCTCGGGGGCAAAGTAGTGCACAAAGTAGCCATTCTCGATCTATGACCAGAGTGAGACACACCCGAGGTGAGATGAGAGCTATAGCGCTGCCCTGCCGAGCCACATCCACCTCCTTACCCCAAATCCCCGGGTCCCCATCCTATCTTCATTTTAAGCTCCTCTGTCACAGTCCCTGTGCTAACCTCCCCAAATCCTCGTCATCTTTTTTTTTTAATTCTTTATTGTTGAAAGTATTACATATGTCCCCTTTTTTTCCCCATTGACCTCTTCCAGTCTGCCACCCCCTCCAGTCCTTCACCACCCTACTGTCTGTATCCATGGGTTATGCACATATGCACACAAGTCTTTTGGTTGATCTCCTCCCACTCACCCTCACCCTCCGGCCCCCTGTCTGCCTCACTATCTTAGGACTCAGTCAAGCCACTAATTTGCTGAAACCTTCCCGGCTATGCATGACCCACTAGAACTCTACTCCACTTTGCCTCCTACTTGTATGAATATCTGAGGCGGTTTAGAGGTAATAAACCTTCTTTAGCAGGTGAAACTTTCTGCCTCTGAAAAGGAATTCTTTCAGGGACAGCATAAGTAAACTGCGTGTTTCCTGTCTGTGGCCTTCAGTGCACACTGACCGGCAGGAGCAGTTTTTTTGCCTTTTCTTCTGCAACAGCCAGGCTCAGGCTCCTGAGGACGGGTGGATTTCCTGGTTATTCTGCTCTCCCCTGCAGCCCACGCACCTGAATGGAGCCTCCAGAGAGGGTGCGGTTCACATCATAGCGGATGATGAAGTCGCCATCCACGACTGTGTCCTGTTGCTCTGCAGACTTCTGTTGCTGGGAGAGCGTCGGCTTGAATCGGATGTGAGCCTGGAGGAAAGTCCGACTGGGCTGATGTCGGGAGCAGCGAGGCCACGCTCACACCCCTCACCCCACCTGCGAATCACCCGGGATGAGAATTCCCCGTAGGTCAAATCCCAGGGAACTTTCTCTCAGGCTGGGCTGTCAGGTGGACGGCCTCAGTACAGTGGATGGGTGTGAGCGAGGAGCCTCTGCTCCGGAGCCGTGTGAGCAGAGCCTGGGCTCAGGATGTGTATGATCCAGCCTCCGCCTTTCCCCCTGGTCCTGGGACCCTCAGGTCAGTGTCCTCTCCCAGGCGCCCCCTAACCTCAGGGTCAAGCCAGCACCCTCCTCATCTGCCTCATGTCAGCGCGGACACAGAGACTTCAGAAGTCTGCCAGCTGAGAGATTCGGCCCAATTGTCCCACTCTCTGGGGATCCAGGCTCACAGGGCAGCCTGAAGTCAGGCCCCCCGGTACCCTCTCCCCACCCATTGTGGCAGGCCCACCTTGGTCCTGTTCTGTGAGACGGTGAGGGCGTCTGCAAGCTCATTGGTCATGAAGGTGCTCTCTGTCTCCAGAAAGCTGATGCCCTGAGGCTCAAAGATGTGAATGTCCATCTGGGAGAAGAAGGGGTCACTGGGTTAGCCAGGAGCCAGGGCTGGGCCTCACAGGAGGATGAGGGCACAGGGGTGGCCACCCTCGGCTGCACAGGGGTTGCCACGGATGCCTCCTGGAGGAGGAGGTTCCAGGTACCTGCAGGTGCTTGACCAGCTGCTGGGGCTGCACTTTCAGCAGCAGCTCATACACTCCCAGGCGCCGCTTGAGCAACTCCTCATACACCAGCTCGAAGGTGACCTTGGCAGCGGGGGCCACACTCACTGACACCTGGAACTGCTCCATCTTTCTCCCAGTGGCCCTGGGGGAGGAGGGCATCAGGCCTGCCCCTCCAGACCAGGTAGGGTATGGACACTGAAGGCAGAAGCAGAACTACAGGCAGGGACAACTTCTACCCCACCCCCACTGGGGTCTCCCACACCCCCTTGGGCTCACTTGACTAGGCCAGCGCTCTCCCCCCTGGCCACGGCCGCACTGTACTGCTTCTGGGCTGCATCCTTCTGCTTGATGTTCCCTGGGTACGTCACACCGTCGATGATCCTGGGGCAGGAGGGTGGGTGCAGTTGAGAACCTGGTGTGTGTGGGGGGGGACTCTCTCCAATCCCAACTCCTCTAGGGAGCCTCTCAGGGACTTGCTGTGCCTCCTGATAGAGTGACTCCTACCTGGATGGGACCTCACCCTTTTATTATGTACCTACTGTGTACAAGACTGTGCAGGGCCCGGGGTAAGGGCTGGAAGCCTCTGCTAGGTGTGCCAGGCCTCCATCTACCCTGAGGCATGCACAAGGGAAATGAACATTCGTTTTACTGAATGGATAGGAGAGGAAGGTTGCAGAGGAGACGGGGCTGAGTTAAGTCCTGGCCTATCTTCTCCCTTCTACTCTGGCCCCACATTCCAATTGCCCCCTCCATCTCATAGACTGTCCCAGAGGAACCTGTCGACCAGCAGCACGTGCTTTCTGAGCTGAGCTTGCACCCAGCCAAGTGCCCAGCAGTGTGGGGCAGACTGAGAAGGAGGGAGATGCCAGGCTCCCAGGCCAGTGAGAGACACAGGGCTAAAAGGTTTGAATGCTCTTCCAACCAGCACAGTGCAGGGAGGAATGCAGAGGTGGGTGGAGGGGGGGTGAAAGGAGGAAGGGATGGAGGGACAGATGGAATATGGAGGGAGGGAGGGAGGGATGGGGATGGAGGCAGAGATAGAAGGAGGAAGGGGTGGAGGGATGAAAAGAGGAAGGAAGGGAGTGTGGGATGGGGGAACTTCTGTGAGAGTAAGTTCCTGATAAAGCCTCTGGTTCCTGTCCTGCCTGCAGGGGGAAGCACACACCTCCTGTCAGGAGGAGGTCCTCTCTCCCTGAGGGACACACTGGGAGGGGATGGCAGTGCGGGATGGGGAGAGGACGCGGAGGGGGCAGGAAGGCGCCTACATGGAGAAGTTGGTGATGAAGGCTTTCTTGGGCAGCTCCATCTGGAAGGTGGCCTCCTGCATGGAATCTGCTCTGTTGACCACCCTGCTGGTGATGACCGTGTGGGCAAACCGGGAGGAGACCCTGGAGTCCACAGTGAGGCTGTAGATGTCGATGGCATTCTGGGGCAGTGAAGGAGGGGGTGGAGCTGCTTCAACGCCAGCCCTGCTTGGAGCCATGCTCTTCAAGAGCAGGCCTTGACCTAGGTCCCAAACCAAGCCCTGGCCCTACCCAGACTGAGTGATGGATGCCTCAGGCAAAGCCCCGGGAGGCATTCCACCTGTGGATCTTTCTCTGAAATAAGAGGCAGCTCTGTGCCCCATTCCGCACCCTACAGTGCCAGGGGGCAGGGGCCACTCTGTCAACACACAGGGGATGGAAGGTGGAGCCTGAGCCCCAGTGTGTCTGGGAGGGACTCACTTTTCCTGGCCCCGGTTGGGATCCGGAAGCTCAAGGTCTTCGCTCTGAACAGTGTCAGGGCAGCAAACAAGTCCTTTGATTTCTGGTGACCAGAAATGGAGGAACCACTCCTGCCAGTCCCCACAGGGGCCTCCAGGAGCTGGGAGAATCTGGAGATGACCAGGGTCCAGTCCCTAAGAGCTGGGAACCTTCTCCTTTGCCCCCTTTCCCTGCAGCCGTGGGCGCTACCCCCAGTTGCCCTGCCCTGCAGCCCAGGCCCTGGCCCTGCAGAGACGGACAGTCCCCACAGGTCACTGACTCAGGTACCTGCCCTTCCACCCAGGTTTAAGGTTCGCATGTGCACACATGAGAAGCCTTACACATCTTCCAGTCTGCATACGACACACTTGTGTACATGCCAGCTCTGTTCACCTGCACACGCCGCCTAGCAGAGGTGGGTGCCTGGCTGAGCGGCTTGTTACACACGTGAGTGTCCGCTCTGTGCCAGACACTGTACTAAGCACTTCATAGTGTTACAGGTTCCATCTTCACAACAAACCTCCGAATAGGGTCTATTATTACCCTGCTTCACAGATGAAGAAAGGGAGACCGAGGACGCGTCCTTACCTTGAGGACGTTCAGCCAGGGAGAGGGCAAGCTGGGCTCATGATCCTCACTCCCACCCTCCCCCACTGCCGGCCTCCAGGGGCAAGCTTCTAGGCTGCAATTCCTCACCTGGAACATGGAATAGGTTCACCCCTACTAGCGAAGGGGGTTGGGGTGTGGGGAGAGGGGGTGTGTGTGTCCATAAAGCCCTGGAGACATGCCTGGTGGATGGTCAGCACCATTTTTTTGCACACACACCGATCTATGCTCACTTGCACGTTCACACACACACAGGATCTCACTCATTCACCAGCTCATACCGCTCACACACACAGGTGCCTGAGGCACCCGCTACCTTTTGGGCACGGGTGGTCTGGAGGACAGCCAGCAGCGAGAGCAGGACCAGCGCGATGCCACAGGCACGGGCAGGACCTGGGGGCTTCATTTGGGCTCCAGTGCCTGGCAGGCTGCTTCTGAACTTGAGAGAAAGTGGGGAATGAATTAGTAACCTCCTTGCTGCTCCGCCCCTCTGGGGGCAGGTTCCAGAAAAATTGGAATTACAAGCCAAAACTTGCAGTGGACTCAGATAAGTGAATGTCCTGTGGACCTTGGCTGGGGACAGACACCTGCACAATCAGTCCTCAGTGACATCAGGGTAGGTTCTTGGAAACGGGAACGTTAAGTGAAATGATGTTCACCTTAGAAACGAGTTCAGTTCCTGTGGCCTATTTCTGGTCACAAAGCATCACCAAACTTGTAGATAAAAATCCAAAATGCTGAAATCAGTGTGAGCTATACTTATAAGAAAGATTCATAAAACCAAGTGAGATCATGCTTTTCCAACTTGCTTATTCCAATTTAGGGGTTTGGATGCCCAAAGCCTCTCCCACCAGCTCAGAGTATAAAAGGTGAGACCCCAACCTGCACAGGACACCCCTCCATCGAAGGTCACACTGACACACACCCACACTAGACTGGAACAATGGAGACACACCGGTTCACCTCACGTGCACATCTTGGGGATGTGGGAGGAAACCATGGAGAAAATCCAAAGACATGGGGAGGCCAATAAACTCCACACAGTGGCCCCACTAGGAATTGACATTTTTCCTCATCAACATGATAATCTAAAGAGGTTGAATAAAAGGGCATTATTCCAGGACCTGCTATACCGAGGAAAGGCAGGCTCAGGTGGGAACTAGGTACTGGCATGCGTTCTGAAAGGTCTAGAACCTTCCCAGGTCACCATTACCCTTTACACCAGTCGGTCCACCAACAAGCGCCCTGGGGCTTGGGGACACAACAGTGAACCAGCCCACTCCCCATCAGCCCAGCCTGGAGGAGACAGAGGGGTGGCTGGGAAGAGGAGGGCGGGGGCAGCTTCGGGGAGGAAAGAGCCTGCAGGCCAGGTTGGTGTGACTGGGCAGTGGGGCCCTGCAGGCCCTGAGCACTCCTTGGGGTGTCTGAGTGGGGCAACACCTGCTAGGGTCAAGGCAGGGTGGATCTGCCTTATTTCTGGGGTGAGAGAGGCTGGGCCCAGGAGACCCTTCTCTCTCCTGGGGCCCCAGGCTGCTGTTCAGGCCCCATTAACCTAGCCAGGGCTCTGGGTTCAACTCCAGCAAGGCCCCCAACACAAGACCTGCACTTTGGCAACAGAAACCGAGAGGCCTCCCTCTGGGGAATTTACTGAACGTGTGGAACAAACCAGAAGGGACAGAGCTCCTGCAGGGGGTGATTCCCTGTGGTGGCCTGTACACACAGGTGACCTGCATGGACGTCAGTCATGCCAAGGGATCCATGAGTCATGGATTGAAGGAGAAAGGACAGATGGCTGCTCTGTCAGCACACCAAGGCAGTGCCCTTGTCACCAGCCCAGACCCATGGACGGTGGCCCCAGGCTTGGGGTAGGATTACTGATGACTTTAGATTTTCCTTTAATAAAGTTGAAATGATTTTTTTAAAAATTAGTTTTAAAGGAAGGGAAGCAGGGAGAGAGGGAGGGAGAGGGAGGGGGAGAGAGAAAGGAAGAGAGAGACATGGATGTGAGAGAGAAACATGTACCGGTTGCCTCCTGTAGGCACCAGCACCGGGGATGAAACCCCCCACCTTTTGACGACTCTCCAACCAACTGAGCCATACCAGCCAGGGCTAAAGTGGAAACGCTCTAAAAACAAAGAGCAATAAAAATGAATAAATAACAGGATCCAGACACTGCTGGTGCGTGTGCCCCTCTGGTGGCTCAGGGAAAGCTTAGCCCATGGGCCAATGGCCACAGATGGGGTAAAGATGGTGCAGACAAGTGTGGCGTGTGCCAAATCCTGGGCTGGTGAAGGAGGACTCCTGACACTCGCCTGGGGAGGGAGAAGGGCAGTTATCTTGGGACCCTGGGCAGTGACGGGCCTGCAGAGGGCTGGGAGGGGTCTCCTCCAGCAGCCCTGCAATGGCACTGGGAGAAGGGCATCCTGGACTTTGGAGCTGCCTGTGGTTGCTCCCCTTCCTTCTGGGGACTCCAGCCAGAAGCCTCATCTCTGTGCATAACGGCACCGCTCGCCCTTCGGCTCTGATATGATTGGCATCAGAGGGGGGGCCATACCGCCTTTGACACGCTGGGGGAGGAGGCTCCCCAAGGAGCCCAGTGAGCTGGCCCAGGCCCTGTCCCCACAGCAGGTCTGCTCCCTCAGGGCGGAGAACACAGGCCCAGCCTGAGAACAGCTATTTAAGGAGGCGAGGGTAGGCCGGGACGTGGGAAAGGTTCAGTGCAGCCAGCTCCACCTGCCCAGGGGACAGGCAGGGCAGAGGGCCTACGGGCACAGCCCTCAGCCAAGCATGGGAGCCCAGGCCCTGCCAGCTCAGTCCTGGGCTGTCCATGGTCTTGCTGTCACAGCTGGACAGGCCTTCGTACTCCCTGAATCTGAGAGCTCCATGCACACAGGGGACACTGAGGCCTGAAGAGGAAAGGATCTCACACAAGCCCAGAGCCCAGACTTCCCAGGCCTCAGGCAGAGCTGTGGGAGGGACAAGGGGAGGTTCACCTGGAGTTGGGAGGTGAGCAGCTCAGGAAGCAGACTGCCACTGGCCACAGGAGCCTTGGCGTGGCTTTGTCTGTGAGGGATGCAAGATGGTGAGGAGGCGGAACAAGGGCGCAGAGGGAGGCGGCCCGCAAGGTCCCTGGCTCTTGCAGAGCCTTGGGGGCCTGAGGAGCATCTGGCTGGCTTCTGTGGAAGGCAGGGGGAGGGGCAGCCCGGGCCCCACCTGCTTCACTCTGTGCACGTGGCCTGTTTTGTGCACTGGGCCTCAGCTCACCTCCCTTGTCACATACAAGGGGAAACAGCCTCAGAAGAGGGGAGATGGTCTGAGGTCACACAGATCAGCACCAGATCCCCACACCCCAGGCTCTTGCTAGGATGGGGCAGTGGCAATAGCACCTCAGGATCATAAGGACCCTCCCAAAGACATGGAGGGCACAGACCATGTCCACCCGCACGCAGGGGCCATGCCAGTTCCCAAGAACACTCTCCAAATGCCGGGGCCGCTTGGGCATCCTCTTTATTGGTGTTTCCCAGGGCCTGGCACAGAGGGCCTGGGCTGAGGGGCCAGGGTGAGGGGGGAGGCGTGGCAGTCCCAGCGGCAACAGGGGAGCAGGGCAGTGCTGGCATGACAGAGTTCTTGGGAAAGACTCCTGTGTCTAGGTGTTGTCAGTGCCCAGGGGGTGGCGTGCCATGTACTTCTCAGCCAAAGACACTCTTGGCAGGCCCAGCTTTCGGCTTATCAAAGACGGTCTCAGTGCCGGTCCGGGTGCGGCTGAACACAGATGGTGCGGCAACGCCGGCTTGCTCTGCGGGCAGGATGGGGAGGTCAGAGGCCCAGCCCAGGCTCCTGGCGACGGAAAGCCTCTTTTGTGGGAAGCCCCTGAGCTCTGGATTCTTAGAAAAGACCCATAGGACCCCCCAGCTCACCCCCTCCTACTGACACACATCTGCACCCCCTCGGCCCCCAGCCCCCTGAGAACACTCACCACACTCCTGCATGACCTGGTAGGTCTTGGACTTGATCGCCTGGTTCTTGGTCAGGTTCCCTCGGGCCCCCTTCAGGTCCTCCTCCTTCACAGGGGGGCGCTTCTTCTTGATGGGGGCTCGCTCGGGGCCAGCCTTGGAGAGACCAGAGCCTCCTTAGAACCCAGGCCTTCAGGCCAAGACCCGTTCATTCCCACCTCTCCCTGCTCACTCAATTCAAGCCAGTCCAAGGCCCCATTCATCCAGGAAGTCTTCCAGACGATGCATCACCCACTGACCCCCCAACCCTGAGTCTCTCTGTCCTTTTCCCCAGACTGGGAGCCGTGGCCTCACACTGTGTGCCTGGCTGGCCAAGCTCGAGCTTGGGCACAGTGGGCAAAGGGGAAAGGCGCTCGCTCTGAGGTTGAATTCCAGGCTTTCGGTGAAATCCAAGACCTGCTCTGAGGGGGGTGCAGAGGGTCCCTTGGGTTTGCCCCTCTCCTCCCAAACTGCCAGGATTTACCGTGCAGGCTCTGGGGTGGGAATGGGGTAGAGGAATCAGATGCCCATGAAGTCACATTCCCGTCAGCATCTACCCATGGAGCAGACTGGTCTGACTGTCCCTCCAGAGCTGGGACACCCAGCCTCAGTGTCTACCCTCCCTCAACCCCAGGTGTCCGCGAGTCTGAGGCCTTCCTCCTTCCTAAGCCCTAGGGGCAGGCGCAGACTCCCTGGTCCCTGAGCCTTGGCTGTGCTCCTGGGCAACACAGTATACCCTACAGATACACATCCTGCTGGAGACACCCGGACTGAATGTACACCCACAGATCCAGCCTCACATGTGTACACACACACACACACACACACAGCTATAAAGGTGCACAAACTGCCAGTTCCGCGAGCAGCTTCCTCACACCCAAGATCTAGAAGTACCACCCATTTTCCCTACCCCTCCTAACAAGCCACGGAATGCCATAAACCCAAGCTGAACAGGGTCCCTCAGATAAGGTGGGCGGGGACTCCCCACCTCCCAGGGGCTGCAGAGCTCCTGTGTTTATGCCTGGAGCTCAGCTCAAGACACAGCTGCCAGAGATGACCGTGTCCAGCTGTCCACCCCCCACCCCAAACCCCCACCGTACCAACACACCGTGCTGGGCCCTCCTACCTGGGACATGGTGGGTGCTGAGTGAGAGCTGCTCCGAAGGCTCCTCTCTGGCAGCAGGAGCTGGTGGGAGAGATCTGGGTGCCCAGCCCTCCGGAGCTTATATAGTCCCCTTGCCCGTCCTGGGAAGTCACTCCCCCTGCTCCGACCGGCTCCCCGACCCCGATGATTCAGGTCCACACAGCCACTGGCTTCAGAGTTTATTCTCGGAGATGAGAGGGGATCGCTGAGCACTTCTGCCCAGGGGGCTGTGGCCCTGGTGACAGACAGCTGGGGAGCCTGCACCCTCAGAGACAGCTGCTCTACTTCCAAGCGGGAGGTGCTGGGACTGGCAGCGACTCGTGTTTATGAATGTGGGTGCTGGAATGTGCGTGGCAGTAGGGGCTGTCCATCTGTGACAGTCCATCCCAGGCTGACCGCTTTGGGCTTGTTTTTCTTTCTCTTCTACCCCTTCCCTGATTCCGGAGGAAAGACACCCGCCCTGCACAGCAGCAGGGCGGGCCTCCCTGACTGCCTCTCGCGAGCTCTGCTCACTGCGAGTTCCCTGGGCTCACGGTGGAGCACAGGGCACCCCTGGGTCACGGGTGGAGACTGCGGCCACAGGAAGCCTGGGGAACTCTCCATCTGTGGCCCTGCTGATGCCCCGTCCTTTGTCTGGCTCCCCGAGCACGTTCAGCAAAGGGATGAAGAGCGTAAAGGACCAGGAGGAAACCGTACTTTGTGGCTGAGGGTGAGCTGATGGCAGGAACAGCACTGAGCCCCCGAGACAAGGTCATCGACAGGCCCCTGGCCTGGGACACTAGGCTGCTGAAGAGGCTGGGAGACAGAGAAGCCCGCTGCAGGCATTGGCCTGTGGAGGGAGGGGCAGGCCAAGGGCCCCCGCAAGGGCCATGTAGTTCTCTGCTACTGGCTCCCAATACCCGTCCTTGAAGGGAAGACCCCCACAGGACTCTAGGCCTGGGGTGGGTGTGGGCAGTAGTGTGAGGTTATTTTTATACTCAAAGGCTCCAAGCAGACAGGACCCAACCAGGTTGGCATTTGGTCACTCCTCAAACCCCACCCAAATCCCCTCCTGCCTGGTCCTGACCCCGGAGGCCAATGCGAAGACTGCCAGACTCCATCTGAGACGAGTGCTGACATGAGGAATGCCTTCGGACAGCTATGGGCAGAGACCCAGGGCTCCGAACAGGGCCAAGAGACACCGAGGGCAGACCCGGTCTATGAGGGCCCAGCTCCCCAATGAGTGCTTCCTCACTGTCCCCCAGCTGGCTCTGCCCCCCAGCTGGCTCTGCCCAGGGAGGCACCTGCCTTGTAGGCCCGTGGCCTCAGGGACAAGGCTGTGGGATGCTCACTCCTCACACTCCATCTCCCAGCACCACTTGCTCCCCAGGGAAGCTTTTACTCACATTAGCAGGGAAGTGGAAATGGCAAGAGTATGTTGGGGTTTTCTTCTCAGCAGGTTTTGGTTCCCACATCTGCTACGAGGTGATGTAAGGTCCGCTTGCACTGTTTCTTGGGGAGAACCTTCCAACCCACTGGGGAAATTTTCTTGACCCCACTAAGCTGTTTCAACTCAAGAGAACACACACCAACAGCCATAAAAGTGATGGCTTCTTTAAAAAAAAATGTAGCAAGACATCAAATTTTATTGTAAACCATTTTATAATGTAAGTACATTGTCTTCCCTTTTATTTCAAAAATGTGTTTTTGTGAATCGTAACACCACCGATTAAACACCCCTTAGGCAGACAGTGGAAGGAGGCCATGGTTTGCTCACATAGGCCTGGCTTCTAATAAACTTCATGAAAAGAGAAACCAAGTTAAACCAATCCACCGCCCAGGAGCTCAAGGTGCCGATGACAGTTGGACCAGAGGTTCCCTCGCTGAGAACAAAGCCCTTGAGGCCACCAACATCCCACAGGGTAAACAGAGCGCTCTCCCCTCCTAGTTGCAAGTGTGTGAAGTTCCTAAAAGCTGCCCGACACCCTACAAAGTGGCTGCCCTGGCTGGTAGGGCATCCCCAGTGCCACCTATGCTGGTCCGGATGCAAAAAGGCCAGTGAACTGCAGTGTGGAGGGCAGAGTGGCCCGCAGCTGTGGGGCCCCTTCAGAGGGGCCTCTGGGCAGCAGCCACGGCCTACACTGCTGAGGGGAAGACACAACTTGGATTTGAGCCGTTACATATTTTCCCTGTAGAGGTGTGAGGGGCCAACCTTAACCCAGGACTCCCTGTTGCCAGGAAGGGGTGCAAGTTAAAGCTTGAGGCAGGCGGCCACCAGCGTACCCGAGGGCGAGCCGAAGGGCCACAGACCTTCACCTTGCAGGTCTGCAGGCTGCAGCCACGGACGGCTACTTGGGCCTCACCAGCACCCCTCCTTACACTCCCGTAGCACAGAGAGCAAAAGGAAAGAAGGGCCACAATAGTCTCTTCCATTCGGATGTGGCAGTTCCACCTCATCAGGTGATTTCCGCTTGTTACAAGGAACTTGTTCAAGACCCTGACTTACAAGTTCCCACCATGGTTGTCTTGGCCAAGGTCCAGATTCTGACAAATGAGACGAACGGTGGACAATACCCAGTTGGTGTTCTGTGGTTTCTCAAGCACAGTGATGCTTGTCATGTGGCTGGAGAGCTGCACCTCATAAGGCACCTTGGAGCAGGTGGTGAGGAAATTTGCCCAGAGAGGGAGGACAGCTCGGGAGGAAGTCCCGACAGAAAGTCCCTGTGACGCAGGACGCACTCCCATAGAAATGATGTGTGCATGAGGCCACGCTGTCCAGGCCCACACAGCACAAGGCCCTCTGTGGTCAGACACCATCCCCTAGTTAGCCAGCTTTGCAGCTGCAGCTCCGAGACCAAAGCCCTTACTGAAGATCAGGATACAGGGAGAAACCACCACGCACTCACAGCCTCTGTCCCCCTCCAAACCCACTACCCAGTAGGCGCTGGGACAAGCCTTGAGATGGGCAGATAACCTGAGTCTATATGACCCAGTTTCCATCGTTCACGGACTATGGTTCTTCTACCCCGTCTCCAGTTTGGACACATTAGGAACTCGAGACTGAAAATGAAGCTCTGATGCTGAGCTCAGAAGGTACAAAAACAGCTGTGGACACAGGTTGTTCAAATCAAAATGAAATAGGAGCAAAAAGGAAGGAGAGGCAGCGATGCCACGAGGGACTGCTGTCTAGCAGGAACACCAGTCCCGGTCCTCCCAAATGCCAGTTCTAGTGAGGAGACACCCACCAACACAGCCAGGGGTTGGGAGGGGCGACTGGTGCAACAGGAGAGCAGAAGCGATGTGAGAAAGGAGACCCTCCCCAATCTCACACGATGCCCCGCCCCGCCTCGCCTCTTCTCTCCTGCTGCAGTCACAGATCCGGCGCCCTCAGCCCTCTGGCCTGGGGACTCTAGGGAAGAGGGTGCGAGGCAGAGGACAAGCCCGGGATGCCCGGCTTAACAGCTTGCCTCACACGTGACAATTCAGACCCAATCTTCCTAAGCGAAGACATTTTTGTGTAGATCTAGAGAGAAGGTTCTGGGCGGGGTGGCCTCCCTGCACCTGCCTCACTTTCAGCTCACACCTCAGCAGCGGGTATTCTGTTCCTAAACTTCCATGGCTGCCTCGGGCTTGACACAACACTGGGCCACTCCACCTCGCTGCATCCACAGCAGGCAAGTGCCCATCAGCCCAATCCACTGCCAGTCGGCAGACTCCCAAAGCCACCGGGGCCCCTGCCCAGGCTGAGTGGGGGCCACTGCCCGGGGGGGGGAGACACAGTTAGAAGCACCTTGTCCTGGCTGTGGATGCAGCCACCCCCCTGCCCTGGAGTATGTGAAAAACAGGACCATTTGGTCAGGCAGGTGTTCTCCAGACTCTTGTGCAAAATAAATGGACACGATAACAGGCCGGGGCAGCCTGACCTGGAGCCGGGTCCAAAGGCTGGTTCTGAAGGCTGCGCCAGGGGAGGCATGGAGGCTGAGGCGACATTCTAAACCGCAGACTTGGAGGTGCTGAGGAGAGGCGAGGAACAAACAGCACTGGCCTTGCAGCCTCAATTTCTCTGGACACTAAGACCTCTTAGCCCCTTTTGTTGGTCCAATTGAACTGAGACCTCTGCCCTGCCAGCAGGAAGGCCAAGGAGCCGCAGGGCCTGGCATGCACAGGGGCACTGCACCCACGTCTGGGCCAGCTGCCTCCTGCTCGGGCCGACCTTTACAGACCCACTGAGTTTGCTGACCTCCGATAAGGATCCATCTCCATTCCTACTGTGCTCGCTACCCTATCTTATCACAGATTACCTAACCATATTGCAAATAAAAAACCCTCGGCTTCTTCCTCCCACCATCCCATGAAAGGCAAACGAACCCATTTCTTTGGGGGTTAAAAAGACTTTTTAAATAGTATGAAAATATAACTTAAAAATATAAAAGTCAACAGCATACGGAAGACTTAAAAATCTAAGTTTTGCCCATTAGTCCCATAGGAAATAAACACATACTCAAAAAACATGAACACTGTGACGTCTCGTGAAACCGGCTTTAGAAATCAAGAGTTATAAAATCCATTTTGAGTAAGAAAGCACTGCGGTTCCAACTCCGTCAATGAGTGACTTTTAGCCCCAAACCTGTTATGTCTTCACTCCCCGGCCCTGGGGAGGGGCTCTACCCAGTCTGTGTGCGCGTGAGCTTTTTCCTCATGGCCACCCCGCCGGACACCCGACAGGGCTCCGGGGTCCCTCACAACATCGGACGACAACAAAGGAAGAAAACGCCTGGCTTGCATATTTGGTCAGTGTTTGTAGTGCAACTGAGTGGGGACCTCCAACAGCCGCGACCCGCTCGGCGCCGGCTCTTCCTCCCTCTCTCCAGTCACGGTCCGGTCGCTGGGAGTGGGCAGAGCGCGAGGACGGAGGTAGAAGAGGAGGGAGAGAGGAGGGGAGGAGGGAGGCTGCAGAGCAGCCGGCCCCCAGACCTGACCCGCACAGGATGCGTCATACAGGCAGCCCGAAGCGGTGCTTCTTCTTCTTCGCAGGCCTCAGGGGCGTCAGTCTGCAGAGGTCATCCTCCACGTCGGACTCCTCCATCTCGTCATCGGCCGAGATCAGGATCTGAGGCAGCGGAGAGGCACGGCCCTGTGTCACCGCCGGCGGTGCCTCTTCCTCTGCCCGCCCTGGACCCCGGCACGGGGTGCCAGCCCCTCCAGGCCTCAGTCTTGTATTTCTTTAGAAGAGTGTGACGGGAGGCTACTTTACAGAGGGGGACAAGCAGGCCCACCCCACCCCCCTCCACGGGCTGCTGAAGCCCTGGCTGAGTGGACACGAGCACGCCTAGCGCCTCAGCCTGGATCGCCAAGCCCTCGCCCATCGGGCTCAGACCTCCGCCTCCTCTGTCATTCTGGTCGATCCTCCGAATCCCTGCTGCTCTGGCCGTCACCCACATGACCCGCTACGTGACGTCTGCTCCTCCCTGCACAGAGGCTGCCTGCAACGCTGAGCCTCACCTCAAGTTCACGGAGCTCCTACAACACGACCGGCCCAGGCCAGATGCCAGGGTTCCCCGTTCTGCCATCTATTCCGCTTTCAGATCTCCCTCAGGAAGCCCAGGAGTGACACGGACTGCCCCAGGGTCCTCCCAGGGTTCTGCCAATGCCTCATCAGCAGGCCTTGTGGTCATGCTGAGCTGTCCAGGCACCGCCTTCTCCTCCCCGCCTATGGCGGCCTCTTGGGGGAGACACGCTCTCGGCCATTTCTGAAGCCCCCCTGGGCAGCACCGGGGAAGCTGAACAAGGGCTCTCACGGGGCAGCCTGCCCCGCCGGCAGCACAGAAGTGGCACGTGGGTGCCGCCAGCTGCCCAGGAAACACAGCCTGACCTCGCGCTCCTGTTGATGACCAGGAGTCTCCCTCAGGCCCAAATCTTCAAGTTAGGAAACTTGAAAATAAGAGATGAGGACCCCTACATTTCAGACGTTTCCTGGGCTCAGCCAACACTTCCCTCGCTTGTTAGCGGTTCAGGGAGTCAAATACCTCGATGCTTCAAGGCCACGGTCAGGCCCGTGAGAGGCCTTGACAGCGTCCCTGGCACAAGGCAGTTCCTCCCTTTCCTGTCTTTCTCCACCGGCGTGGGGAGCCCGGGGGGAGCCACCCCGAGCAGGGCCTCCACCTTCCTACCCTGGGAAGGCTCACGGGGCAGCAGGAAGGGGTCCAGGCGGCAGGGGAACCGTCTCCCTCCCGCTGGCTGACGTGAGACCCCTCAGGTCAGCAGCATGAGGCTCGGCCCTACCTCCGACTCCGACTCCTCATGGGATGCGGCCCTTCGGTAGCGGACCTTGCTCCCATTCCTTGAGTCCTGGTTGGCTCCCCTTTCCTCCAGTTTAGCTTTCGTCCTCCCCTTTCTCATGAGGAAATTGTCCACTACCCAGAACATCAAAGCCTGTAGGGAGGAAAGGTACAGATTACTCGGGATAAGCCATGTGTGAAAGCAAAGCAGGGCAGCCCCACACCCCCATCCTTCCCACTCCCGATGACAGCACCTGACCAGGCAGAGAAAAACCTTATCCATCCCCCTATCGCTCAGAAGCTTAAAGAGAGAGTCCTCATCTCTATCTCCTTTGCTTTCTTATCAGAGAAAGCCCTGCCCTCTTTATCCCCAGGGTTACTGTGGTGGTAACCGATGAGACAGCCTGCCTGGGGCCTGGCCCCAGCCACTGATGAGTGGGGCCTGGGACCAAGTCCCCCAGCTCCTTCCTGGGCCGGTCAGCCAGCACCCGGTCACATCTGTCAAACCCAGGTTCCTTTACGGTTTCTTCTCATATCTCCTAACTGCTAGCCGGTGTGCCTGTGAGTTTCTCTTGAAACTGTGGTGAGAATAGCTGACCTAATGATTCTCACCGAGAAGTCGCTGTCACACAGGTGGGAACCTTGGCAGGAGGCCACCGGGCAGGGAGGGCAGGACAAAGTCCCTAGGACCCTCCTCCTTGCACAGAGGCCCTGGGGCAGGGATCTGCCTGGCAAGGCAGCCACCCCACCATGCCATTTCCAGGTCGGGTGGGACCCGAGAGCTGTCGGAAGGCAGGGCGCTAACTGGGGTAAAAAAATGCAACATGGCACTGACATTGACAAAGAAGGGGACGATCAGCATGACGATGGCCAGCTTCAGGTCTGGGTTTTCAATGGGATTCAACAGGGCCACCTGGAAAGAGAAGCAGACTCCGTGAGGTGGGGGAGGCCACAGAGAAAGTGCTTGGAAGGAGGGGCCCGTAGGTCAGACATTCACCCTAGCACCTCACACTCAGGGCTGCACAGTCCCCAGGTTTGAACGCTGACGAGGGACCCTCCTGGAGACCACTGGAGCAGTCAGTGCTCCCTGAGGTGTGGACGTGGGCAGTGAGGTCACGTCAGACACCACCACTGAGGTGCCAGACCACTTTCTCACCGAAACCCTGCACCCCCACCACCTCCTGGACTATGGCTCTATAAACACCTTGATTTGTTTTCTCAAAAAATAAAACTCAGCCACAAATAAAGCCAAAGGATGGCAGAGCCATCTGTTCCCAGAGGCTCATGGGCACGTGGAGGAAGGAGGCAGTGAAGGTGTATGTACACTGGGCCGGGGCCAGAGGGCAGAAGGCAGAGGCAGGGTCGAGGGAACCTGGGAACAATGTGTGACCAGCTGCTGCCTCTGGCACCCAAAGGCTCGGTTAACCTTGGCCGGGAGAGATGTGTGAAGAAGGCATCTGCAGATGTAATGAACACCTGCCTGACACTCGGTGTTGCAAGGCCTGAAGACTAACATCAGACAGGACTGCATTTTCATGGGATTTATATACGTGTCCCATTGGCTTAATCTGGAGCAGATGTCTGTGTCATTGAAGTGGATGGTGCGAAGTAAAGAAACTGACTCGTTACTGCTCTTGTTAGGTAGCCAGCAGCTGCCATATCAGACCAAATCAAGGGTCTACTTATGGAGCTAAAAACAAATAAACCAACCACAAATTTGGTTTTCCAATTGGGCTGGTGTGGCAAGGGGAAGGAGTACTGTCTTAGTGTCTCAGAGAGCTAATGAAGAGGCAAGAGGCAAACCTTCTTCCACTGAAGTATCAGGAGGATGATGAAGACAACAGCTTTTTCAAACATCATGATCACGATGTACAGCGCACACTGGCCGACCCAGGCTCCGCACTGCAGAGGGTCTCCTGCCGGGAGAGTGGGCGCTCGGTCACGCAGCTCCAAGTGGGACCCAGGCTGGCGACGCCTCCCCACCACTTCCCACAGCCCTGCCCCATGCCAGAACCCCGACTCTAAAGCTACTCAATGAACCCCCAAAGCACCAAGAATCACCTCTGCCCGGACCGACAAATGTGGGTGTTTAAAACAAAACTAGAGAATTCCTAATTTGGAGATACCAGAGTGTCTTTTCTTTCAAGAGGTTCTAAGACATAATGAAAACGCATCAAGTTAGTGAGTGCCTGCTGCTGGAGCCCAGACGCTGGCTCTGTGTGTCCGCTGGCAGCAGGAGCTGTGTTAAGCAAGGCTGCTATTATTACCCACTGTTGATTTTTCCAGTGACTGTGGTGCTGCCCCCCCCCGCCCCCCACCATGAGCGGCCAACATTTTTGAATTATGAAGGCAGCAAACAACCTCCTTGTTCATATCCCACGCCCTCTCCCTACTCCCCTGCTGCTTCAGCCCTAAAAGCAGAAATGTGCCTCTGGAGGAATTCAGATTCTGCCTGGGATGGGGCACCCAAAACACCTTGGACTGGGGACAAGGAAGTCCAAAGGCCGGGAGAGATGGGCTGTGCCTCGGGGCTGACAGAGGGTCCCCTGAGGTCCCATCAGTCACTATGCTTGAGAAGTGAAGGAATCCACTGGTCCACAGGAGGGGACACTCAGGCCCAGATATGCCTCCAGATGTTTCAAAAGGAACTAGAAGGGTGGAGGACCAGCCCCTCCAGGGAGAGATCTACTTCCTCAGTGAAAGGCAGGACCCACGGGATGGGCCTCTGAGGAGCAACACACGCCTCCCCAATGGGAGACCCAGGGGAGAGGAAGGGTGAGGGAGGCTGCTGGCCAGAGGAGGGGCTGGAGAGTAACATTTCAAGGCAGGCAAAGGCCCCGATCCAGGCTGAGGAAAGAATGTGGCCCAGAGAGAAATCTCCAGCTCCTCATTCGATGCTATCGTTTTTGTGGCAATCCCTGTGCCGGCACCAGCGCCGGAGGCCGCAGCCCTGCCGAGCCTGCTCGCTGCACCCAGTGGGAGCGCAGGGAATGCCTTCGTGCAGCTGTCATGGACACAGCAGGCCATTCCCTTTTCTGGAAAACCCTGGGAGAAGCGTGCAGAAAGCACGCAGAAGACATCGTTGCCTCTCCGGAGGTCACCCTATCTACTTCCACTTCTGGGAGACGACACATGTGAGCCAAACCGTCATTTCAGAAGCACAATCTCTCCCAGCTAGATCTACAGGGGAGTTTTGTAGTTCAGCAGACTACCTTACCTTACGGAGAGAAGTTCTCAAAAATGACAGGTCAAGATATTTGTAAAAAACCGTTAAGTAAGACAGGGGACAGCCAGAAAGAAAGCACTGGTAGCAAATACCTGAGTGGGGACGAGAGTGTTCAAGAGTCAACAGAACAAGTGGCAACACTCACTCACTCTCTAAAGAAACCGACTTGCTCAGTGTGTCTGCTCCCTGTGCTCTTCACTTTTAAGTGGCTGACAAGAGGGACTGTTCTCTCATCTGCCTCCTGCCCCTCACGCTGCTCTGTGTTTCAGAGCCACAACTTAGCGGCAGCTGCCTCTTTCTCATTTAGATGCTTTAATAAGTGAAAAAAAAAACACATGGAAAAAGGAAAAAATCAAGCGTAACCGGACTCTCACGTCATTTCCTCCTGCGCATCATGAGGCCACGTGCTGTTTTTCTGATTTCTGTTCCATTTGAGAGTCTTATGTTCCCCGAGGTCTCATCTTTTAAGGACCAACAAGCCAGGCATTCATTCTTGCTGTGTCACGCTTTTTACCACGCCGGACACCCTCTGGCACATGGACGCTTTGCTTTGTTGAATTATTTCCTCAGGATCAATTACAGGAAAGGGGCCAAGAGGAGGGACCACGTCTGTATCTAGAGAGGTTTTAGAAGGGAGCGTGAGGGCAGGACGGGCGGCCAAGGCCACGGACCACTGGTGCCCACGGGACACAGACCGGGGAGAGCAGCCCGGTCACCAAACTGCAGACACCACGCAGCGCCTGGGCCGGTCTCAGCCCTCGGGGCTGGGTGGCATTCCCCAAGGCCCATGTTCTTGTTAGCAAGTTCACCTTCTCTTCTAGGGGCCATGGAAGCACCTAGACAACAAGCCCCTCTTCTTCATTTACTGAGAAGAGCGCTCTGGGGTCCACATGGAACGGCTGCCTCAAACGGACGGCTGGCTGACAGGTGTGGCCGGCAGAATGATGGTCCCACAGAGACGGCCACGTTAGTCCCCAGAACCTGTGAACACGTCAGGGAACGTGGCCGAAGGGAATTAAGACTGCAAATGGAATTGCTAGTCTGCTGACTCTAAGACAGAGTCGGGGGGGGGGGGGGCGGGCGTGTCATCACAAGGGCACTTCAGAGTCCAGGGAGGTGGCAGAAGGTCCGAGTGACTGGATGTGAGAGGAACTCAACCTGCTGTTGCTGGCTCTGGAGGAGGAGGAAGGGGCCCCCAGCCAAGGACTGCAGGCAGCCTCGGGGGCTGGCAGAGGCCAGGAAATGGACTCTGCTCTGAGAGACCCAGAAAGAACCAGTCCTGCTGACACCAGGGTTTCAGTCCATGAGACCCACGTCTCACATCTGAATTAGGGACTGTAAGGTAACAAGTTTGTGCCGTGTTAAGCCACCAACTTTGTGATACTGTGTTGTAAGAGCAACAGAAACAAAAGAAATGGGCAGAAATAGAAATCGGGTGACGGAGAACACACACTATCCTCCAGCACCTGGGGTGGGAGGACTCGAGACGGTCCGTGATCAAGTGCTTCCTCTGGAGACACCCTGGTGCGATAACGCGGACTCCCGAAGGCAGCAGTGGTGGCCCAAGGGCAGGGGCCAATCGGGTAAGAGGAGGCTGGCATGGAAATAGATTCAAACACCCACTGCCTTCTTCCTCCCAGTCTACTCTTGGAGATGCAGAAAAAATACCCCGGAACAGGTGGAACCATAATGCCTGGTGTATCAGGACCAGACCCGATTGCCACTCCCAGGTCACCGAGTGGCTCACGACTGGCTGTGGTGGACTTCCTGGGCACCGGTAAGCGAGTGTTGAGAACCCTGCCTTCCAGAAGGATCTTAACAGCAAGGAAGCAGTGATGAGCACTGTTCTCGGAGCTGACGGGAGGCTGAGGAACCCAGGGTGGCAGCCAGGAGCCACCCCAGGCACTGGGAGGGTGAGCTTCCTGTGTCGCTCAACCCCACAGGGTGCCTATCCTATGCCTGAGGATGCTGCTGCTTTGGTCCATGTGCACTGCGTCCGTTTCCATCCTCCAATTGAGGAGTCCATGACTCAGGGCTCCTCGGAAGGCTTCCCTGGAGCCACAGGAGCACACGTGTGTGTCGGACACTATCTTAGGTCAGTGACTCACCAGGCATCAGGTAACGAGGCTAAGAAAAGCCCTCCCCTGAGCTCATCGCCCCTCAATGGAGACAGACAATTACTAAGATTTCTAGAAATACCCCAGGCACTCATCACAGCCTGCTCCACAAATCGGTTCCCCCTTTAAAATGTCAGTCTCTAGTGAGTGTTGGGTCATGTAGGAGTGAGCAGCCCTCGGGCCCAGGAAAGGCGAGGAGGACCCAGATTTCCACCTGTATTCCCTCCCTCTTGAGCTGTGTGCACCTTTCACGGCGAAGGTTCCACGTATGCTGTTCCCACCGAGAACAGGAGCTCCTTCCTCCAGGCAGCAGGGCCAGCTGTGACGGTGGAGGGAGCTGCTGTCCCCTGACCCCGAATCCCCAGGTCCTGAGTCACCAGGTCCTGAGTCGCCAGGTCCTGAGTCACCAGGCTGTGGCAGAGCCCGGAGAAAGCACCCTCGCCCGCAGCCCCGTGGAGGCCACATCGGCCGTTTTTCTGGGAGTGCAGAGTAAACGGCATCTGTGCTCAGGACCAGCACGGGGCAGCCTCCTACCCAAGCTGTGTCCCATGCGGTCTGACAAGGTGCAAGGGAGTCGAAGCTGGGCCAGCATCGTAAGTCACCTGCTTTAAGTCGCATCTCTGCGAGTGAGGATCGAACTGGTGTCCTTGGTGACTGTACGTGTCAGATGCTGGGGGGGAGGCCAGCCCATAGGAGGTAGCAAGGTGACGAACCCAGGGGGATGGACCCTCCAGTCCTGACTTTTTGTAATAAAACGGCCCAAGGAGAGGACAAACAGAAAGAGGGGCAGCTCCCTACTGAGCACCTCCAAACCAAGAGCCACCCCCATCTCTCTAAGGAGGTGGCAGCTTGGCCCAGTGCGGTGGCCTCATGACTCTGTATGTGGGCCACTAGTGCCCTCTGGTGGAAGAGGCCAGCGCTGTCCTCTCTGCATTTAGTGTGTCTCCTGCTACAAGACTGAAGCCAAGCAGTGAAGTGAGCACCCACATGCCCCGACGCAGGGCACTCTGACGCTGGGGGAGGATGGCACTCGGGACCCAGAACCAGTCCCTCCACCACGAAAGAGACAGCCACCAGCTCCTGAATCGTCTCTGAATCCACTGGCCTGGAGGGCTGCACAGGGCAAGGAGCCCCTCTAGGAATCCCCCGCATTCCCCGCCAGTGTCCATGGTACGTTACCATATTCGCCAAAGCGCAGGGACTCCCACTGCTGCCACTCCACCAGGACGCTGACGGCACGCACCCCCAGGTAGATGAGCAGCATGCCCACGGTGGCGTCCAGGAGGAAGTTGATGAGGTACCTGTGAGGAGAGGGCACAGTGGCACCGTCAGGGAGCCAGAGCCAGAGTCGGGCCTGTGTGCTGACCAGAGCCAGCGTCAGGGCTGACGGGCCAGCACTCTGCCTGGCCTGGCTCTGGCAGAGAGCCGTTGATGTGCCTGAGCAGGAGGCCGCAGCGTTCTCCTCTGGGAGCCCCGGGGAAGGGCCCTGTGCAGTGTGCAGCCCCTCTTCAGGGGCTGGACAGCTCGAGGGAGGGGTGGAGGAGGCAGAGAAACCTGAAAGACCACAAGTGCTTCTGCCAAAACAAAGACTCGACATAAGACAGAATGGAAACAGCCAAGGAAGTCAACAGGAAAACAGAACTTAATAAAAATACCTGCTCCATAACTGTTCACTCCCTGATAGTCCAGCCCACCCAAGGCCCCCAGTCAGTGCCACTGCACCAGGCAGCTCAGGAAATGGCCCTGGGGGCTCTCAGACCAAAGAGGGCAGGGCCGCCCAGCCTCACTCCCCCTGTGCTTCTAAGCCTGCCATGGAGACAAGTGCAAGTCAGGGTTTCTAAGGAGTGAGCTTTACTTCCCATGGAAAAGGCCAGATGCTGAAGGAGAGGGGAGGAGAGAGGCAGAAGGCTAGGCCCACCACGACCACTTGCTCATCGTGTCTGTTTCCACCTGCCTGACCTCACCAAGGCAAGGCCCCTTGCCCACTGGCCCTCTCCTGGGGGCCCTGCACCAAGATCTCTCCGGGCACCACTGGCCACAGGCCCAGCTCTTCAGACAGACCGCAGGAGACAAGCAGTCACTGGGCCGCTCTACCCTCTCAGATGCCACAGGGCTCAGAACCCCCAGAGCAGCTCTGGACTCCACAGACCACGTGCAGTGCTTTCGGGTGGCTGAGGCTTGAGGCATTTTATGCAGACCCAGCCCCCACCCCAAGGCCCGGGCTTTGGTGGCATGCACAGCCCTCTGACACCAGAGGGTGCACACTCTGCTCGGTGTGGTCAGGGCCCTGGAGTGGCCGGGAAACCAGAGGGAGGGGCGGCGTTGCCTCCCGCCTGCCCTTCCTCTTTAAAATCACCAGGGGTCACTCTCAGACCAGAGACGGAAGGACTAGCAACTGCTTCCAAGACAATTTCTCCACATTCACAGCCCCAGGCTATGCTGCTCTTAGATGCTCACATCTAATTGGTTTCAAGTGGTTCTCACATCTGAGACCCGTCCCAAAAATAGTGAGAACACCTACTGCACATTGCAGGCATACCTCCATTCACTGTGCTTCACAGAGGATACATTTTTAACAAACTGAAGGCAAGACCCTCCAACAGCAAGAAGATTGATTACCCCTCGCTTTACTGTGATACCCGCTTTGCTGTGGGGGCCTGGAACCGAACCTGCAACATCTGAGATGTGCCTGTACATGTGTTAGCTCACTCGTTCCCTCACCAAGTATTTATTTGCAGCCTTGGGATAAAGACAGAAACCTCTCTACTCTGAACTCAGCATAGGTGAGGTGCCATGGCAGTCAGTATTGTGTGGGGGCCAGACTGGCTGGGTTCAAATCCTAGCTCCCTCACTCTTTCCTGTGAGCTATAAAATCACTCTGTGCCTCAGTCCCCCAACTGTAAATGAGGATAATCAAAGTATCGACACTGCAGGGCTGTTACAAGGATCAAATGAGTCAATATATAGAGACAGTACCTGCCAACAGTAAGTAAGCACTAGAGAGAGGTGTTCATAGAACAGCAGCCCCTCAGAGGCACTGAACCCTGGATGTCAGAAAGGCTCACCTCCCACCCAAAGCAGCATCCCCAACGCAGGGGACTCCTAAAGCCACAGGAAGCAGCTCAACCCTGTTTCTCCTCTTCCTGAGCTGAAACTAGCTCCCCTTCTAGGTCTGCAGACTCCCAAGATGCCCCAGGTCTAGCCCAACCTTTCCTCCACCTGTGAAAAGTCACAGGACAAAGCGAAGGTGGGCCTGGCATAAACCCCAGGGCAGCACTCACTCTTCAAGGCCCAGGCTTCGCTGTGCACAGCCCTGACACCAGGGGGTGCACACTCCGCTGAGTGATCAGGGCCCTGAGAGGTGAGAAGACCGGAGGGCGGGCACCTCTCATTCCCCAAACAATGCCTGCTCTGCCTTCTAGTCTCCCACCCAGCAACTCCTCAATGACTGCTGGAGCTTTCGTGTCCTCCCAAAGTTTTAACGGCAATACAGTGGGGCCTTGACTTACAAGTTTAATTCGTTCCGTGACAGAGCTCGTAACTCAAATTACTCGTATGTCAAATCAAAAAGTGAACGAGTGAGACACGTGATGCTGGGCTGATGTTGTGGCGTTCACTGTGATGTTCGCTGCGCCAACTAGAGGTGGGGTATCCGAATTTTAGCTCGCAACTCAAAGCAAAAAATCGGCCGAGAGACGGCTCGTATCTCGAAAAACTCATTAGTCGGGAAACTCGTAAGTCAAGGCCCCACTGTATCCTCCAACTGAGCTATTCACATCTTCACTGGTAAGTGTCCCTATGGTTTCAATGGGGCTACTCATCATCTGATGAAAGCTCTGATCCTGGGGATCTGGTAGGACACACAGGACAGAGGAGGAAACTGAGGCTCAAAGAAGTTAAGCCACCCTCCCGAAGTCTGGCCTCTCAGTCTGGCCTCTGCTCTTTTCATCACCCCAAGCCCTATCTTGGATCCCTTTTCCTGCGGGTCACGCACTCGAGGTCTGACAACAGCCCCATCCTGACTGTGGTTCAGTCTGTCATGTCCTGCCTAAAGCCGAGGCATCTTCTTTTTGTTGATGCAAGGGGGAGTGATGTGGCCACGGCTGTACCAGGAGTTAAGTTTTCCGGCCCCAGCACCTCTAGGACACAGAGCTGGCTCTCAGACTACCTCCACCAATGACATCAGGACGATTCACCAGAGGGTGTCATGGGCTTGCTACTGGGCTCAAGGACCAGAAGGACAAGGCCCTTTCCTAACCATCTCCCCTGCAGGATGATCGCCCTTCCAGTCACCTGCTTGGGATGACATCCAAACAGATCACAACCTTACCCAGGTCTTACTAAATCTCAAAACTGCACACTGTCACCAAAAAAGAAGCTTAAAAGAATCTTCTAGTCCAAATGATCTTAAATGCACAAGAAACCTCTTGGCAAGGAACTCATCAGCCCTCCACCCCCTTCTCCCATAGAGACAGGGCAGGACTGGAGGGCATCCCAGGCAGAGGGAAGCTGGCAAATGCACAGAGGCAGGAGATAGCTGGCAGGGCTGAGAGCCACCAGGAGTCACTCTACCATGGCTGAAGCACCAAGTCTGAGCCAGGAAGGTAGTAGATGGAGTCAGGATAAGGCAGGTGAGCCTCCCTTTCCACTCCATCTGCTGAGTGAGAGAGGTGCTGTCAGCAGGGAGGACAGCGTATGATGGCCCAATGGGGGTTTCAGGCAGATTGCTCTGGGGCTGTGTGGAAGGCACACTGCACTGACAAGGTGGAACAACCCATGCTCTTCGGGTCAAGAGGTCAAAGACGGTCAACAATGGCTTCAAACCTGAGTGGCTGACATCACAGAGAAGCCCAATGTGTGTCCTGTCCCAGCACAGGACATCGTGCTGCCCAGCCGGGAAGCTGGGAGACATAAGGGTACCAGAGAGCCAAGAAACAGAACTCAGATTGATTGGCAGAACTCAGACCTCTCGGAGGAGCAGAGGACAAAGCAAGCTGCCCCTCCCCGAGTGAGAGGAAACATGGCTGGCAGCAGAAAGACATTTTTAGTGATGGGACAGGTGATGTTTGTACTCAAATACGAACCACTTACAGTGAGCAAGGGTCCTCTTCGGTGAGATCCGCTAGGTACACATTGGCAAAGTGGATGAACAGCATTCCTATGGCTTGTTTGGAAGTGTCTAGAAACCTGTACAAAATAGGATTGGCACTGGTGATCACACTGACAGGAGGGGAGTAACCAATCTGGGAAAAAGCTAAGTCTAAAGTAGGAAAAAAGCCACTGGGAGACCCCAACTTCCAATTACTAATCACCTCTTCCTGGGCCATCAGTACTAACCCAGGCTTGGTGATTCAGTGACTTTTCAAAACCTTTAATAACACTGCACTCAAATCCCTAAAAGGCCACTGATTAATAACATACAGGGTAAGCGAAAGTAGGTTTACAGTTGTTCACATGGAAAATAATACAATCTTATCTAATAAAGAGATAACATGCAAATTGACCATCACTCCAACACACAAGATGGCCGCCCCCATGTGGTCAAAGATGGCTTGCAGGGGAGGGCAGTTGGGGGTGACCAGGCCTGCAGGGGAGGTCAGTTGGGGGTGACCAGGCCTGCAGGGGAGGGCAGTTAGGGGGAACCAGGCCTGCAGGGGAGGGCAGTTGGGGGGGACCAGGACAGCAGGGGAGGGCAGTTGGGGGCGACCAGGCCTGCAGGGGAGGACAGTTGGGAGCAACCAGGCATGCAGGGGAGGGTAGTTGGGGAGGACCAGGCCTGTAGGGGAGGGCAGTTGGGAGAACCCAGGCCTGCAGGGGAGGACAGTTAGGGGCAATCGGGCTGGCAGGGGAGCAGTTATGCATCGATCAGGCTGGCAGGGGAGTGGTTAGGGGGTGATCAGGCAGGCAGGTAGGCAAGTGGTTGGGAGCCAGCAGTCCTGGATTGTGAGACGGATGTCCGACTGCCCATTTAGGCCTGATCCCACTGGGTTCAGGCCTAAACGGGCAGTCAGACATCCCTCAAGGGGTCCCAGATTGGAGAGGGTGCAGGCTGGGCTGAGGGACACCCCCCCACCCTGTACATGAATTCATGCACTGGGCCTCTAGTAATTAATGAATAGTAATAAAAGAATAAACTGTTTCCCATACTCACAACTGTAAACCTATTTTTGCACCACCCCCCCCATATATTTAAACACATTCAACACATTTCAAACATGTTTTTCCTTTTTCATTTCCTGTTACTTTATAATGAAATGTCTGATCCCAGCTTTGTGATGAAGTGCAAGGTGCCTCTAGTTTAAGGAGCTCCCACTCGACCCCACTAGCACTGAGCTAAGTGCTGTGCACGGTTAAACAGCCCCGCCCAAATCCAGGTCTGCAGCTGAAGCCCTGAGCCACCGTCAGCTATTGCCGGTAACAACAGACAGGGTCGGGGTGGGCAGACCTTTTCTGTAAAGGGTCGGAGAATAAATATTGCAGGCTCTGTGGGCTGTTGTTCTCTGCAGCAATTACTCAACACTGTCACTGTAGCCTAAAAGTGGCCGTAGTCACTACCATTCCTATAAGACTTCATTTATGAAAACAGACAGTGAGTTAGAACGGGTCTGCAGGCCACTGTTTGCCGATCCCGGGCTAGGTAACCGTCGCCTTGCGAGTGACTTCTTTGTTGGAGTTATGTCTATAGAAGCTATGTCTGAGCTTTACCGCCATTTTTATGGAGGAAAAACTGTCACCACAGGGTCAACCTAGGACCGAGAAAGACTAGCTTTGGGGACAGAAGCATTTACGTGGTGCATTTGACTAATCTCCAAAGTTAGATTATTTTTTGCTCGTGCATATAGACTACAGAACCTGAGGGCTTAACATAATATAACAGGGAGCCGTTACTACAGAGCCTGCAGCACAGACAGATGCTTCTGTGTTATCTCCCACCTTCTAAAATAGGACAAGAGTGAGGAGAGAACAAAGGTAGGGCTCAACATGTATCTGAGAAATGGAAATGCTTTCATATCATTCATAGTTCCTAATGATTAATTCATTAAGGGAGTCCAACACTTTGTTATGTATAATTGCTCACATTCCATCCCCTCCCTCCCCCAAACCATCCAAACCATTCTAGGAATGAGCTAATATTTAAATACCTACCATATCCTCCACGGACGTCTTTCATGCTTTGGTTCTCGGAAGCGTTTGACTGAAAGAAAAGATAGACATTCAGTAGCTTTCCACAGTGATAACAAAGCAAAATGCACACACAGTGCCTACAATGTCAAGTTAAGGTACTTGCTCCATAAGCCGTGAAGGTCACAGGGGCCTGCACTGCTGCTGACTGGGACAGGCTCTGCAGGACTGGGCACGTAGGAAGAATGACTCCTCACAGTGTGCGGAAAATTGTATTTTCTTCTTTTTGTGTGACAAGGCTCTTGGGAAACGACAAACAAGGACATAGCTATTGCTAACTTCAGGATATGCTCTACCCAAAGACATATCCAGCCATCCACCCAAAGGTTCACTGCATGCCACTCCCAGCCAGCCACTGCGGAGACATAGGCAAAGGCAGTGGCTTGGCAGGAGGGCAGGCACATAACCAATGTGTGGCAAGTGCTAGGGAAGAGGCAAGTTTGGGGCAGCGTGAGAGCTGGAGGGAAGGCTGACCGGCCTGCCTGCGTGGAAGAAGGGTGCAGGTGGGAGAGGCGTCGCTGGTGGGAGGGGAAGGTCCTGAAAGCTGGGCTGGAGTTTAGCAAATGGATCAGGGAGGGGAGAGAGCTACACTCTGGACAGAGCACACACCATGAGTTCATAGGTACAGGGATGTAACATGGCAGAGTGTGTGTGTGTGTGTGTGTGTGTGTGTGTGTGTGTGTGGCATAATTTGATTTGGCTTTGATATAGCAGGTAACAAGGGAGACAAATGAGCAGAGGCCACATGAGGGAGGGTCTTAAAGGCCCGGCTAAGGAGTCTGGACTGAATCTTGTAGGGAAAAAAGAAAGACAGGAAAGATGCTAAGCAAAGTCAAAGACACGGTGGGAATCGTGTTTTGGAAAAGTGGCTCTGAATTGGGTAGATTCAGAATTGGGTTCCTGGGGTGGAGAGGGCTGAGGAAGGACACTGGCTGTGTCACAGACCAGACAGGGGACTCCCAGCTACAGAACAGCCAGCAGGGGTGGGTGATCACTCAGCAACAGCCTGACTCCTTCACTCGGGTCTACAGACACGACCATTTGAACAGAGGAAACCAAAGGTTTCTGAGTGCCCTGTCCTCCACTGAAGCTCCAGGCAGACTATCCCCACAGGATTCTATCTACTGAAACCAACAGAGAGAATGTGCACATGTGATGTCCCACACACAAGTATCGGGAAGAAGCAGATGTGGAGGCAAGCTCATGGGGGATGCAAGCCCATGGAGGATGCAAGCCCATGGAGGATGCAAGCCCACGAAGGATGCAAGTACGTGGAGGGTGCGAGCCCACAGGAGATGCGAGCCTGTGGAGGATGCCGAGTTACCCTGGCAGCAGGCAAGAATCAACTCGGGCAGATCCCTAAGCTACCAAAGAGAGTGCAGGAAGGAGGGAGATAAGGAGGGAGAAAACGGCACCCAATCAATTAACCTGACTTTTCTAAATGAATACAGGCAGTCCGTAGTATGCAAAGCAAGGACTGTCTGTACACAGAAATGACATAAGTCTGGTGTTTAGAGAAACATTTTGATAGAAAACAAAAGCAGGTGGAATTGTAAGGTGGTCTGCCATTCTGCTGACACATCACTCATGCAGAACATCTACAACGTTAAAAAACTGCTAAAGAACCTGCTCGCGCGAATGTCTTTTGAGGCAGGAGGCCTCCTTCCTACAAGCACCCTCGTCTCACCGAGGAGCTGGGCTCAGCAAGGAGATGTGCAGGAGACTGGGCCAGAACTAAGCAATCTGGAGGGAAAGCCCCAGTCAGGGCTGGAGCCTTGGCATGCTCATTTGTTTTCTGCCCCAGGGGAATCTGTCCCCATCCGTATAAAATAAAGGGCATTGAAACATATCCCAATAACACATCCTCATTTTTTCCCCATTGATTTTTAGACAGAGTGGAAGGGGGGAGAGACAGAAAAGCATCGATGTTGAGAGAGACACACTGATTGGTTGCCTCTCGCATGCGCGCCCCAACCATGGGATCGGGCCCACAATGGAGGCACATGCCCTTGACCACAATCGAACCTGGGACCCTTCAGACCTCAGGCCGGCGCTCTATCCACTGAGCCAAACTGGCTAGGGCACGCCTCATTCCTAGGACACAGTGAGAAGGAGGCCACCTGTAAGCCAAGGAGAGAAGCCGTGGAAGAAACCAAACCTGCCAACCTAGCCCTGGGACTTCCAGCCTCCCGATGGTGAGAAAATAAATCCCTGTTGTTTAAGCACCCACTTTGCAGTGTTTTCTTATGGCAGCTTTAACAAATGTGGCAGCAGTAACTGGTGAGCCTAAATGAAGAATACCGGGGTGTTCATTAAATTACTAGAGTTTTTTATAGATGTAACACTTTTTGAAATAGAAAGTTGGGAGGAAAACATACTCTAGAACAGGGGTCCTCAAACTTTTTAAACAGGGGGCCAGTTCACTGTCCCTCAGACCGTTGGAGGGCCGGACTATAGTTAAAAAAAAAAAACTATGAACAAATTCCTATGCACACTGCACATATCTTATTTTGAAGTAAAAAAACAAAACGGGAACAAATACAATATTTGTATTTGCATGTGGCCCGCAGGCCGTAGTGTGAGGGCCCCTGCTCTAGAAGAACGAACTATGTGCCCATTCGGAGGTCATTTGGGAATATTGACCACAGTATTACATGCCCAAGCCCTTCAACCTGCCATGCACTGCCAGGTATGTGTTCTATAGGTATTACCGCAACATGTGCCAAGATGTGTAGGGATCTGCACTGTAATGCTGTCATAACAAAAACCCAGAAAGAAGTCAATGCCCGGCTGGGAACATACATCATGGCACAATGCAACACTAGGCAGTTACTAAAACAAGGCAGGTCTGTATGGAACAATATGGAAAGATTTCCAAATTATTATTATTACTATTATTAGTAGTCAGGTGCACAAAATTCGTGCACATTAAAAGGGAATTAATTAGCAGATATTTTAATATTGCTATTTGCCCTTTCTCTATAATAGAAGTGTGAGAGATGAAAGGAAATTAGTAAAATGTATATAAAAATAATATATAAATTTGTTAATAAACAGTAACAAAAGGATATAACAACAGAGGCATGTTATAAAAATGACAAAAACATGATATAAAAACAACAGTGGGATTTATCTGCTAGCTAAAAGTCCAGATTATTTTATGAGGCTAAGAGAAGGAGCCCATGTTATTGGTTATCAGTGTTTTCCAAATTTTAAAACCTGCCTTGATCCACCTTCTGCAGTTCTTGCAGGACCCACCCTTACTTGTCTAAACACAAAGACCTCTACTTTCTTGAAATGCTGTACAATTGCTGTTCCCTCTCCACCTTACCCCAAGTGCTAAAATAAATTACATATCTTATAAAAAAAACCAAAAAAAAACAACAGTGATGCAAACCATGACTGATAAAGTGATTCAACTTATTCTATTATCTCCCTGTACACCACATTGAGTGAAAACACTTTCAGAGTGCTTGACTAATTTCCCTTGTGATGAAGTATTTAGAACTTTAACTGTAATGTCACATGCTCTTCAAACTCGAGAGAAAGCAACATATAACTAACCATGTGCAAAAACGGGTTCAGGTAGGAATATGCCTACTCTGTCTAGAGTTTGTCCTTTGATTTATTAATAGTCATCACAAATGCTGGCATCACCGGAAACTGTCATTGAATCAATTTAAATGGGAGGCCAGTGTCAGATGGGGACAAATTAATTCTTGGAATCAGAACAACCTCTCCCTCTGCAGATCCTATTAATACTTCAGCTTCGATAATGTTAGGTTGTAATCTTTTGATAATAAACCTGGTACCATTTACAAAGACCCCATTTACTATATTGAGATTTTTCAATAGCATGATGATTGCACCCACTTTCAATTTTAATTTATGACATGGCATTCCCAAAGGAGTAATACTATTAAGAAATTCAATGGGAAAATTTTCCTTTTCAGCTTCATCTGTGGAATCAATGGAATCATCACTCAAATATGTGTGAAAATCTCCATCGAGTATATCCAAAATTTCTTCATTTAATTTTTGAACATGCTCATTTTTTGGACAAAGAATTGCATGTTTAGATATATTTTTAATATTACCTATAGATACAGTATTCCCAAAGGTAGCTTCAATAATAGATCCATTACAAATCATTTCATAGGGAGAGATTTCAATAATATCCATTCCTAAATGAAAACTGCTATCAAGTTTGCCATCTCCAAGTTTTACTAACCATCCACTATAAGCAGAATCCTCTGATCTCATACTTGTTGTAAGAGACAACTTTCTGAAACATCCTCAAACACTGCAGTACTTTAATCTCATTTGTACTATGGCCGATCCCATAGCATGCAGTACAATACATTAGACATTGTAGAAAATCCCCTCCAAGAAGGAGAACTTTCCCACCAAATACAACATTCAGATTCAATTTCTCTTAGTAATCTGTCTATGGCAGTGGTCGGCAAACTCATTAGTCAACAGAGCCAAATATCAACAGTACAACGATTGAAATTTCTTTTGAGAGCCAAAATTTTTAAACTTAAACTATATAGGTAGGTACATTGTTATTAACTTAATTAGGGTACTCCTAAACTGGCCTTTGCTAAAAACGTCCTCAATCTGAGGGGTCGACCTCAGCGAACGCACCCCCACTTCTTCTAACGCCACTTCTTCAAAATAGACTCGCCCAGGCCGAAAACCAACTTCTGCGCATGGGCCACGAAGTTTCAATCGCACTGTACGTGCACACCCGCACGTGGTATTTTGTGGAAGAGCCACACTCAAGGGGCCAAAGAGCTGCATGTGGCTCACAAGCCGCGGTTTTCTGACCACTGGTCTATAGCATTTATAGCATGACTGGATGCCATGGTGTATTCATCAATAATGAGAAGTTGGGCCTTTTTAATAGTTTTAGTAACTTCACTCTTTATATTGAGTCTAGAAATTGAAGTTTCATTTAATGGAATCGGTAATTTATATTGGGAATGAAAGGTGCTTCCACCGAGAAGTAAATTTGCAGCAATTCTTGTAGACGTTGTGGGTAAAACAGTACCACCACAACCTCTAATATAATGTGTTAAAACTTTATACAGATATGCAGGTGAATAGGATTCCTAGCTGGCAGACCTCTGACAGCAAGCTGGCCACCTGTCGATTCCGTGAGGAATGGGGCTCCCTCCTCCCTCTTGTCAGGGTCCAGGGTGCAGGTGAATGGGGTCCCTGGCTGGCAGGCCACTGACA